TCGTGTCATAGTTGATGCAATGTGCAATGTCCACAATGTCGTATGTTCTACCAGGTAGCATACCACTTCGGTCGTCTCAAACTGCCTCCATCACACACCAGTGCAGCCCGGCGCGTCATTATATATAGTGCCGAGGTTCAGCGCGACAGTTCGGATGATGATTCTGGTGCCGGTCAGTTCCCCCTCTTGGCAGTGGCTGGACCTTGGGCAGGCTCGCCAGCCTGCATTTAAGCAGGTGTAGGCTGGCCAAATTCAATACATCGCCATAGACTCAATGTTTGGTATCCTCAGCAAGTGGGAGTGCCACGGCACATAGGCTCTCGGTTCCTGGGCCTATGCTAGCTGTTATGCACCCAGCGTGGCAAAAAAATCTCCCTTTCATATTTCCTGATAAAACTTATTTAAGCACCCTGTGGCTATCACCAGATGCATTTGTTAGTAGGTGCACCGGTGTAGCATACGCGAAGATAATGCAGGCGGAGAGGTGATGCCAGGCTGCGACTTTGTGACGTCACAGTAATAGTGAAAGGAAAGTGCCGGAAAAATCCCCGGATGATCATACCTTACTACATGGCCTTGCCTGTGATCATCGCGCATGGGTGGGCGAACATGAAACGGTACTCGACTTGGCCTGGATTTGAACGCAAAACCTTCTGATTAGGGGCTGGGTACGTACTCGGTGGGCCATCAAACCAGACCGCCTGGCTCGAGAGCCAGAGTTTGATGACGCATGGTTTCCCAGTCATTTCGGCAGGGCACGCTGTGGGGGACGTGTCTAGTAAATTAGCAAATTGGGCCCATCCACGTGTCATATATATGCCTCGACCGCCTTACCGCAAGTGACTTAAGACCTCAGAACACCTTCTGAGATGAATTCGGACATAGAGTTGCCGAGTGTAGCCTCGTAGGTCAGACATGCCCGCTTTATGCCGAGCTCGGTACACTCCGCGGTTGCACTCGCCAGCAAGCTATGTTACGCAAAGGGCAAGTTTGCATTGCGAGGCACACACGGGGCCGCCAGCGTTCCTACGGGTTAGAAAAGGGAAGGGCTGCTGGACAAACAACGACAACATCATTACTGCCGGCGAATTTCACAAGGCTTGAAAACAAGAAAAGGGCGAAGTGGTGTCCTTGCAAGGCACAGGCTTGTGTCGTACCTCAGCGTATGAACGACTGTGCCCTCACAGCCACGCACAGCTTAACTTATTGTCTGTTCTCCCGCGCTCGGGCACGCCCGTTGGTCCTGCCCCCTATCGGCGGACTGCGAGAGCATCCCTCATTTGCGCCCACTTTCTGGTGCCGTCCTCTACCGGCGAACCGCGAGTGCCAACGCCGGCCGGCAGGTGTCGCCCGTCTCTCTTTTGAAGCGCGGCGGCGCTCGTACTGGCGTCGCCGGCCAGCGGTTACGCATACGACTCCACCCGATCTCGCGGCCCCACAGACGGCCTCTCGACAGATGGCGCGCTCGGCGCTCGTGGCCGCCATGCCTCGCCGCCGTCTGACCGGACGCGTCCGGCGGTCCGCTCACTGTCAGGACGTGAGCCTGACGTCCGCCAATCTCCCGTCGCCGCCCTGTGTTACATTGTCCCCCTCGGGCACAGTGGCCTCCCTGTCGAAAATTGTTATCTAAATGGGTGATAATGCGGCGCCGCGAGCCGCCAGACCCATTAAGCTGTCTCTAGCCTCGCTTCAACGCTCAATAATTAAATCGCAGCCCATCACCTGTATTCACAGGGTCAATCACACTCAGCCCAGTGACAAATTTAACCGTTCTCTGCTTTTGCAGTCCGTCACCTGTACTCACAAGGTCAACTGCACTCAACCCAGTAACAAAGTTAACCGTTCTCTGCTTTTGCAGCCCGTCACCTGTATTCACAAGGTCAATTACACCCAACCCAGTGACAAAGTTAACCGTTCTCTGCTTTTGCAGCCCGTCACCTGTATTTACAAGATCAATTACACCCAACCCAGTGACAAAGTTAACCGTTCTCTGCTTTTGCAGCCCGTCACCTGTATTTACAAGATCAATTACGCTCAGGCCAGTGACAAAGTTAACCGTTCTATGCTTTTGCAGCCCCGTCACCTGTATTCACAAGGTCAATTACACCCAACCCAGTGACAAAGCTAACCGTTCTCTGCTTTTGCAGCCCGTCACCTGTACTCACAAGGTCAATTGCACTCAACCCAGTAACAAAGTTAACCGTTCTCTGCTTTTGCAGCCCGTCACCTGTATTTACAAGGTCAATTACGCCCAACCCAGTGACAAAGTTAACCGTTCTCTGCTTTTGCAGCCCGTCACCCGCATTTACAAGATCAATTACACCCAACCCAGTGACAAAGTTAACCGTTCTCTGCTTTTGCAGCCCCGTCACCTGTATTTACAATGTCAATTACACCCAACCCAGTGACAAAGCTAACCGTTCTCTGCTTTTGCAGCCCGGCACCTGTATTTACAAGATCAATTACACCCAACCCAGTGACAAAGTTAACCGTCCTCTGCTCTTGCAGCCCCGTCACTTGTATTTACAAGGTCAATTACACCCAACCCAGTGACAAAGCTAACCGTTCTCTGCTTTTGCAGCCCCGTCACCTGTATTTACAATGTCAATTACACCCAACCCAGTGACAAAGTTAACCGTCCTCTGCTCTTGCAGCCCCGTCACCTGTATTTACAAGGTCAATTACACCCAACCCAGTGACAAAGCTAACCGTTCTCTGCTTTTGCAGCCCGTCACCTGTATTTACAAGATCAATTACACTCAGGCCAGTGACAAAGTTAACCGTCCTCTGCTCTTGCAGCCCCGCCACCTGTATTTACAAGGTCAATCACACTCAGCCCAGTGACAAAGTTAACCGTTCTCTGCTTTTGCAGTCCGTCATCTGGACTTACAAGATCAACCAATTCAGTCCAGAAGTAGACTACCCGGCCTCCGTCCTGGTACGTCCACCGCGACGCCCAGCGCCAGATACCGTCCGACATATCACCGCCAAACACAGCAGGCTCCCGTCCATCCTCCATTGCGGAACCTTGCATCACCACGCCTGGTCTCTGGTCTGGGGGCCGCAATACTGGGCTGGGGATCGGGTGGTGTCCCCTTTTGGGTCACGCGGAGGAGAGGAGGCCTACTGTGACCCCGTCCGACAGGTGGGGAGGTGTCAAGAGACCAGCATGGCAGCGCACAACATTCATGGTCTGGTCAGGATGGAGATTAGCCCGTTCTCTCACACTGTGTGAGTCGTCACCAGTGTCTGGTTGCCCGTGGTGCAAGGCGTTCAGGCTGGATGGTTGATCACATAGCCCGGTGTCTAGTCCTCTCCCTTTAGATGCGCGTCAGCTGCCACCGCTCTTCCTCCTCTGTCGCTTTTCATGCATGACATTTGATACCGTGCAGCAGCTGCGCAACTGGGTCTGTCTGCCCTCATTTCAAGATCGCTTAATCATCTAACTGGAGCCCGCCCTCCACTCAATCTGTCGCTGGCAGGCCGGTCGTCATCATCGAGATCGACGATCAGTGCATCCTGGGGCGACGGCTCGAGCGCCGCGTCGCCGGTGACGCGAGCAGGATCCGCCCGGCCCCTTCATGTTCCCCATCGGGCGGGTCCTGCCAGACAGCTGTTGTGGGGGCGCCCGCATCCCTCTCTGTCCTAGCTCCCACGAGGCGCGGCGCTCCAGCTTGAGGGCATCGATGTCGTTGCAGCGCGGTTCATTGGGGGATGGGGGGGGGGGGGGTATGTCGATGTTTTCGACGGTAGTCTGACACCGCGCGTCCCTTAATCTGGAGCCTATTTTCTGAGTCGGAATCGGAGTCGATTTAAAATTGTTCTGTGCTGTTCGGAATTGAAGTTAAAAATATATAATGCACTGTAAGTCAGATTCGGAATTGACTTCGCAAACGTGAAATGACGAATAGATACATGGTAATGGAACAAAGACGCCTCCAACGTAAGAAGTTATGGCTATTCTGATGGCCCCTGACAAACCAGGGCCATCAAAAACAAACTAACAAACAAACCTGACAAAACTTGACAAACGACAAACTATGGTCCTGCTTCTGCTTATTTGCAGGATCTTTGGGTCATCTCAGATTTGGTGGCACATTAGGTCGCTGTCTAATAAAAGTCTGCCTGGAAGGTGCTGCGATGTCGCAGGATATAGACGTGGGAACGCGCAAACTTCAGCAACAGTTAATAGGCCCTGGCATTTCGTCTAGAAAAAAATCCTTGCCGTATTTCAGACGACTGATGACAATAAACGCCTCGTGAAATGGCTCAAAATGCTCGGATGTTGTTTGACGGCATTGGGACCCGCTAGTGTCCTCATCATCAGCTTTGCAACCGGTGACACAGGAGTTTGTCACACGGTAACACGCACAAGGTAACGCGCTCCGTGTTCTCTCGCGTCAGAAATGTGGCATATTGTCATCGGCATTCAAGGTAAAATGCCACGGCAGATGAAGCCAGGTCTGGTCGTGTTGAGGATGAATTGTTTGGTAGTTAAAGGATCCTCTTCGGGCACTGGCCCTGGCCGACTTGGGGACCTTAGTCATCACGGTCCACACGCCGTTATGCACTGCGGGGCTCCTGGTCGACGCAGGGGGACCCTTCATCGGCGCTGGGGCCTCGACGAAAGTAAATCGCGGGCCCCAGCTTTGTCCATGCTTGAGAAAAAAAACGTCCGGCCGGGACCGACACGGAGCCAGCTGTTTGGTTCTGGCGGTGACCGGATGACGTAGAGGCCCTCATACACTTAAAGAGGTCATCAGCGCAAAGGACCCTCTCGCTGACATTTGAAAGTCTGGCCCTGCGGGCCGGGCCTCTTAATACGAGCTCCGGCCAGCTCTGCGGGCCCTAATCGTCGGTTCCCTAGAGCCCTTAGGGCCCCGGGTATTCAAAGACGAAGCCAAACGGAAGTGTCCAGTGACTTACGGGAGAGTATAGCGCGGTAAAAAAGGAAGTACTGACGGCAGACAACGCCTTTAAATCGCTAAAAATAAGTGTAGCATTGGCGATGAGTGTATTCAGCTTCAATGAGACGACAGTAATCACAACTGATGAATCACACGAGCGATGTCGACATCTGTCGCACTTACTCACACATTACCCGGACACGGACTGGCCGACGACACTGGTGACACCCCGAGGTGGCTCAGAGGGTCTCATCGGCCAACCGGTCCTCGCGCTCTCGTGCTGGCGCGGCTGCCTCCTCCTGGTACGTGTTGAGCACCTCTAGCGGCACATTCCCGGGCGGCGCCACGAAGTAGTCGTCCTCGGTGAGGGCGGCGCATGAGGTGATTTCGTCCACTGACGGCGCCTCTTCCACCACGTCCGGCCGCAGCCGCAGGTTCCTGGTGATGTCGGCAGTGCTCAGCACCAATGTATGGTCATGTCTATGCTATGGATGACACCTTTTGCTATATGAGTTGTGCTGCTGCTTTTGTTGTGTGTAGGTAGGTCTACTGCACTGACACAGGCTTAAGTTTGCGATCATGGTAGCATGGCTTTCAAGTGCACTTCTTGGTATGCAGTGCAAAATGTATGCAGTGGGTTCAGGGTTCAGCACTGAGCAAGTCCGATTTTGATCCAAGCTGTCATATTTGTTTAACATGGAGGGAAAGCTTTTCAGTATCACAGTTATCTTGACCTGTTCGCATTTTAGCTTGAGAAAGTTTGCTGCCAGCTAGGTCATAAAGGCACCTCTGAGATTGACATGAGTGGCAGTGAAGGACATAGATGTAACATACTATCACACTCAAGCATGAATGGAGACTGTGAGGTTTGTCTTTGCCTAATTGAACTGACTGAAAAGCCTAAATATGCTTAAAATCTTACCTATCTTCCAGCACAGTATAGAGCGGCTCAATCCCCTCAGTGCAGACATCCCTTATTGTGTCAGCAAACTTGATAGCCTCTGTCAACCTTTGCACTCCTTGTCTATTCCCAAAGTCTACCAATGACAGTCTCTCTAATAATATAATATCTTCTTCAGTAACTATAGGTGCTCCAGCATGCTGTCTTGTGTCAATGGTTGTAGGGCATGAAGGTATATAATGATAAGAAGAAACATTCTTCACAGAAGTGACTCCAGACTTCCACGCTCTTAAAAGACAGTAGACAGGAAATGGATTCACAAGCCTCATTTTACTGATCATGTTACTGAGCTGCCAGAAGTACCTCCAAATAGCTTCACGCTTCAATCAATTTGGAGCCCAGTGGCATTGATTTAAGATGACGAAATGCCCCTTACGATACCGTCACACTGTCGCAGTAACGAGTCATGCACTTCGAATCCCACCACGCATTTTATGCGTCACAGTATGAAGCTCTTGCGCCGTAAATGGTAACAAATATTTGTCTTTTTTCATTGCCCCCAGAAATGACGTCTTGTTTTTTTGAATAATGTATCGATCTAAAAAGTAAATATTCTAAACATTTTAACAATTTTAAAAAAGTCTTGAATTTTTTAAAGTAATTTTTGTCTTTTTTATAATTAATAAGGTCTCATTAATGTTATATGACGTAATTTCATGCTGCTCTTGTCCACACCTTGGCATGTCTGGCAAGGCACATTCACCATCACCTCGCATCCGGTCCGCGTTTCCCTGAGTTCGTGAGCAGCTGTCGCTGTGTGGTTCTGAGTGTTGAAGGCTGGCGCGAAAATCGTGGGAGGTATCTGTTCAGTGAGCGTAATCGAAATACCACAGTGCTTTTCCAGTACTGGTTGACAGTGGCGAGATGGCCCCTGTCGATCTCAACAGCGGTGCGAATGACGGTGGCTCGGGCATGGAGGAGAAGCTTCACCTGATAACTCGCAACCTGCAGGAAGTTTTGGGCGATGATCGAATGAAAGCTGTCATGAAGGAAAGAGACCTCAAGATCTACTGGGGGACTGCTACCACTGGAAAGCCTCATTTGGCTTATTTTGTTCCTATGTCCAAGATTGCTGACTTTCTCAAGGCAGGTTGTGAAGTAACCATTCTTTTGGCTGACCTCCATGCTTACCTAGACAACATGAAAGCACCATGGGACCTGCTAGCTTTACGCACAGAGTATTATGAGCGTGTCATCAAGGCGATGCTCAAGGCAATTGGTGTTCCATTGGAAAAACTCAAGTTTATCAAGGGGACTGACTATCAGTTGAGTAAAGAATTTACTCTTGATGTCTACAGATTGACCTCAATGGTGACTGAGCATGATGCCAAGAAGGCTGGCGCTGAGGTCGTGAAGCAGGTGGAGCATCCACTTTTGTCTGGACTTCTGTACCCAGGCCTGCAGGCTCTCGATGAAGAATACTTGCACTGTGACACTCAGTTTGGGGGCATCGATCAGCGCAAGATCTTCACATTTGCTGAAAAGTACCTGCCTCAGTTAGGCTACAAGAAGAGATCTCATCTGATGAACCCCATGGTCCCTGGTCTGACAGGAGGAAAGATGTCATCCTCAGAAGAGGACAGCAAAATTGATCTCCTGGACTCAGCTCCAGCTGTCAAGAAAAAGCTGAAAAAGGCTTTCTGTGAGCCAGGCAACATAGCTGACAATGGTGTCCTTTCATTCTGCAAGCATGTCATTTTCCCCCTGCTGGGTTCAGAGAAATTTACCATCGAGCGGGCGCCGGAGAATGGTGGCAACGTCGACTACTCAGACTTTAATGGCCTGGAGGCTGCCTTTGCTGAGCAGCAGATTCACCCAGGCGACCTCAAGGCCACTGTTGAGCGCCACCTGAACCGCCTGATGGAGCCCATCCGGCAGGAGTTCGAGTCGCCCGAGCTGAAGAAGCTCGTGCAGCGCGCCTACCCGCCGCCGGGCAAGAAGCCCGCCGCCGCCGCCGAGCAGGACGGACCGCACCGGCTGGACATGCGCGTCGGTCGCGTCGTCTCCGTGGAGCGGCACCCGGAGGCCGAGACCCTGTACGTCGAGCGGATCGACCTGGGCGAGCTGGAGCCGCGCACCATCGTCTCCGGCCTCGTGCAGCACGTGAGCGAGGACGAGCTGCGCGGCCGCCTGGTGGTCGTGCTCTGCAACCTGAAGCCGGCCAAGATGCGTGGCGTCGAGTCGCGTGGCATGCTGCTGTGCGCGTCGGCGGAGGAGCCGCGCGCCGTGCGGCCTCTCGACCCGCCGGCGTCCGCGCGCCCCGGCGACCGCGTGCTCGTCGAGAGCTACGAGACGGGCGCGCCCGACGAGCAGCTCAACCCCAAGAAGAAGGTGTGGGAGAAGCTGCAGGCCGACCTGAAGACGTCGGCCACGGGCGTGGCGGAGTGGCAGGGTAACCCGCTCATGGCCAAGGACGGCGCGGTCACCTGCACGGCGCTCAAGAGCGCGCCCATCAGGTAGCGGGATGGTGCGGCGCGCGTCTTCGTACAGACAGTCGTCGTACATCTGTCTGTGTCTATTTTGATTATTTCTAAGCGACGTTTGGCTCTGGGGTGGTGAGATGTTCGACGGAGCGGTGGGCGCGGTGATGTGGGTGGCAGATGAAAGGAATGAGGCTAGCCGTTGGAAATTACCTGGTCGTGGCTCTTGTGAAGGCTTTGGATACTTTTGCCGCCATGGCATGTGTTCACCTGATTCTGAGCGCGCGGTTTTGACAGGCGTTTTATCAGTCATCTAGCGTGATCTCCACGCTCCAAAATGACGGGCGTGGCTAGCAGTTTTAGCATCTCCCTGTCATGCACAGTGTACCAAATAGTATTTAATTAACGTTATTCTCTGCTTATCGCACGCTGTTGGCTTTGGAATAAACTGTTGCACCCTGATGGTGTTTTGCATAGCTGTGCGGATTTCTATGCTGGGATCGTGTTCAGGGGGGCTGAGCATGTTGACATTTGCCAGAATGTGTGACGATGGGGTAGGGAAGCTTGGTTTCCCTCCAAGCCAGAGTGGGTCTGGCAGGTTTAATGTCGCTTATTATTTACCAGGCTTGTTGGGCTTTCTGTTTTAAATCTTGTATGGGGTTTGTTCCCGTAGGGTAGGGATCAAGTCTGCGCAACACGCTTTGCTTGTTAGGGATTGGTTCCAAAGCCATGCTTGCGAAGTATGGGGTATTTTTAAGCAGGGCGTGAAGGGCCAAAAGTTTTTTCTCAGCTACTTCCGAAGGCATGATGAGATCGGATGTTTTTCAGCGCTCTGGATGTTATTGATTTATATAGAATCGGGACTGACTGATCATATAGTGGGTCACGATGCACCGAAGAGTTCTCATGCCGCATGTATTAACTCAGATGGACGCGCCTTTGTGCGGAACAGTTTCGGTAGCCTGCAACCTACGCTGCAAGAGTGCTGTCTTTTGAAGCCAGGCCGGATTACTGGTATAATGACGCCTGCTTGGGCGAAGCACCTAACTTGCGGGCAGGTACAAGTACCTGCATCTGCACATGTACGCACGTGCAGCAGGGCACAGCGGAGCACGGATCAACATGAGATTGGAGAAGCGGCACAATAAAACCAGGTCTAAATCAGACCAAAAAGGTAATGGGGTCGTGGTAAATGCTCACGGTATCGAGAGTATTCTGTCCGTCCGTACGCCCACGGAGCCATGAAACACTGTTGTCTCTTCGGATATTGACTGCTTGATGATGGCATTTGATGAAAATTGAAATGTGATTCTATTATTTGCGTTTTTACCAGGCTTTCCTCCTATTGTAAGATTATGGTGTTGTGGTTCAAGTAGATCGTGTTTCCCTTCAAGTCGGGATTGTCAGCCGTTAGCTAGGGTAGAGGTCGAGATTCCGCAGCTAAACACGTTCATTCATTATGTTCAGTCAGAGCTGGTAGCTCACGCCAGGGGATACGGATAAGACTGAAGTACTCGCAAGTGTTCCTAGATGGCATCATCAAAACACCACATTGTGCGCGAAACAGTCACTGTCTGCTGGCCCTATCATTTAGTGAGAACAAACATTTTTATAAGTGGACTTAGGCATCTGCGGATTTTCTTTGCATATAGAAGATCGTGGGCTAAGACGCAGATTTTTCTTGGGAATGTGTTCCTTACCCCGCCGCAGTGTAGCAGCTATTTGGTCTTACCAGCACTGAAAAACTTCGCTACTTTCCCCGTTTCAACAGTCTCTCCATTCGATGCTGGATAGTGCTACCCCATTTAACTGCTGTTTCTCTTACCCCAGACCGAGTCCATAAGACATGAAGCGCAGCTCTAGACTGCAGGATGGAATCATGGGAAGACTCTTTCGATAATGTATAATGGAGATGAGTACAGAACTTCGACGCCGAGTCGTCATCACCACGCCTCTCACAGACCTTGACGCAGTACCAGACTTTCTAACATGTTACCTTCAGATGTTTTAACTCCTTTCACACATGTCCCCTTGTCACGATAACACATGATATCTTAAGTCCATATTTATTGATAAATGATACAACTAGGTACACGGGTGCCCTACGGCAATGCTTCCAAAAGAAAACGATGATTACTCTAGCTGTCATATAACAATCTCTTCTTCATGGCGTCTACACAATTCTGGAGCAGCTAGACGTTTGGGGTACGGGCAGGCGGCTGCGGCACAAAGCACACTCAATATACGCCGGTCTTGGGCCGGGCGCTGCCGCGGTGATTCCGTAGTCGACGAAACGTGAAACGTACAAAATATTTATCCAACACAACAAGCTGCCAGCTTTGTTCAACCAATACAAAATTGATTTAAACCATTCGACAACCAACGGCGACGCAATCTCATGCGCCGCGCGCCGCTCGACAACATGACCGAAGGCGGCGCTTGCTTCAGTATAAGGCCAACGAAACCGACCGGGCCGCGGGTCGAACGAAGACGAAGCGGCATGCCGTCCACGGTCCACATGCGCGGCGCGGATCAATCAGCGCGCTCTGCACACCACGCCACTCAGCCGTCTCTCTCACACACACACCACGTCACATCGCCGCGGTGTGACGCCACACCGCCGTGGCGTGACGTCACATACGCGGTCGTCATCGGCGGGCCCACAGCTGGAAAGGCCGGCGGACTTGCCGCGGGGAACACGGGGAGCTGCGCAAGCGAGAGGGGAAGGGCGGCGCGTCGCGCCCAGGGAATGTCACGGCCGGCCGACGGACGGGCGCGCAGCCGCGCCGCCGTCGGAGAGGGCGCTCGGCGCTGCGGCGACGTCTGCGGACACAGAGGGCAGCACTGAGGCGGCGCACACGGCCCGCGGACCGCGCCAGTCTGCCGCCGGTCCGTCCGGCAAAGTCAGATTACAGCGAATCGCTAAGCCAGCTGTTTTCTCCGTGTATTGGCAGTGGTGCTGTATATGCATAGATAAGTTCCTATTTCACGATATCGATAGCCTTCACCCTGTAAAGCACGTACGCACCCCTTGTATCGTTCATGCCAGCCGTTCGGGTTGAACGTTTCTACGTTGAAGCATTCGCACAAGGCTGGCCCCACCAGCGCCGAGACCGAACATCCACGCCGCTGCTGAGCGTACATTCAAGATAACTGCCCACATACGACCACCACCGGTCGGTCTGCCGACACAGCCGAGCATGACCGCCTCACAGCGTCACAGGCTGGCATCCACCGGGAGCGTTTGGCAGACCCAGCCCCCGCCCACGCCTCGCTCGCCTCCCCGGGCGCCACTGACCGGACGAGCCTACGCCGACGGCGGGTTGGTGCTCTGCTGCTGGATCTCGATCTTCTCGACCGTCATGTCGGGGTTCATGTCGGTCGCCTCCTGGATGGCCTCCCTCAGCGCCGCGTCGTGGTCGATCGGGTCGCCGTCCGACTGGATGGTGATCTTCTGCTCGACGCGCGTCTCCACCACACCGTCCTTCTCCGTCTTGTACTGCGGGCGCCGGCGGCCGGTCAGCGGCGCGGGCGGGCTCATGCCGGAGTTGGCCGGGCGCCGGCGGCCCGGGCCAGTGCCACAGCACAAAGCTCCGGCCCCCGGACGGTTGTGATATCGCAAGCCTCAGTCTTAGGGCATTGCGAACGCAACACATTTGTGCAGCGTGAACATATTGTTAGTAAATTCATACTTCGCCAACGAAAAGTCGGTCTTAAATACCTCAGCTCAGGGCGAAAACAGCATAACACATTACAACCAAATAGCATCCCGAAAACAAAAAAAAATATAACCCTGTTATATAGCCAATAAAAACTATAACCCTGTTACTCTCAGATACACTCGGAAAGAACACTAACAACGTGTCATGGCATTCCCCCGAAGACCCGCCGCGACCGAGCACGACACCGCGGCAGCTGCTGCAGGCGCCGCGGCTCGGGTCGCCGGGGTCGAGGGCAAGGCCGCCGCGGCCGGGCGCGAGGCCTGCGGCACGCCGCGCGCCGCCGTTCGCTCACCGTCACGGTCTCAACGGTGCGCTGTTTGCTCGTCACCGTCTGGCTGCTCACGATCTCACCCTCCGCCTCGTAATTCTCGCCCTGGACCGACACCTGCCGGCCGGGCAAGGTCAGCGCTCGGGTCACCCACGGCCGCCGGTCAGGCTCACCCGGCCCGGTGGGCAGAGGTGTCACTGATGGCCGTCGGGCCAGGTCATGTCAGCCAGACGACCAGCATGGAATGAGTGCTGCTTGGACTACGTTTAACTGCACCGGATCGCCACCGTAAGCCATTTCGTCCAATTTTGGCCGGCAAGTACTAACACAAGAACTGACACAAACCATGGTCGACTACAGCGGCATCACAGCACAGCAGCGGCAGCACCATGACACCACAGGCCGACTACAAACCATATCCTAGCCAGAGCACCTACCACGTTCACTCGTACAAGAATCATCTCCCGGGCTCCCACCGACCGCTGCCTATAGTTATGACTTCTCCCCTGCGTCGATCGAGTTCTGCGCCCCCTCCTCGCGACACGAGCCCTGTTTAGAGGGCTGCCCCGACCTCGACCCCCGCGGCGCCGTACCTTCCTGCTCTCGGTGGCCACCAGCGGCACGTTGGTGGTGGCGCGCGCCGTGCTGCCCACGCCCTGCGGCGCGTACTTGACCGCCTCGGTCCGCACGATGGGATCGGACGAGGTGCTCTCCGTCTGTCCGGAGATAGGTCAGGCTCCAGTCAGCCGCCGATCAGGCGGGGGCCAGGCACGGGTCAAACACGGGTCACAGGTCAGCCCCGGGTCAGACACCGGTCTGGCGGGGTCACGCTCCCATCAGGCAGATGTCGAGTGCACGTCGTGTATCGTCAGGCGTGGGTCAATCGCGAGTCAAACCGTAAAGTACAAGTCCACTCCCGGTCCAACAGACGTGAATAAGCACGACCGCCACTGGCTTTTGGGTTGCCATGGAAATCCTGGCAGCTTTGTAATGATTTAACGACAATGATCATATTTGCGGCGCTTGGAATCAGACCGATATACTAAACCAAGATGTGTACAGTCAGCTGATGAAGCAGATCGGATCCGGTCTCTCCAATGTAACATCGGCGGGAGAGTTGCAGCCTCAGATCTCAGTCAACCGTACGTCAACAGTTAACTTGTCATTTATGGCATACACACGTCACTGCCGGTGGAAGGCAGGCATACCAGGCAACGTGAAAACAAAGCCGCCGCCTTGCTGATCAGTGATCATGCGACGGACGTCACAGTCAGCGCGTGCCCCAAGCATGCGGAAGCAGGGCCCTCAGACTCGAGACGAATCGCTAGAGACGACCGCCAGGTAGAGCTGTGATATAGGTGTGAAATCGCTGACTGACAGATTCGCCACCCCGCCAGTGCATCCGGCTAGACGACGTGGGTACGTTTCACTTGCCGTAATGACAACGGATCCAGTAAACCAGAAAAAAACTCATCTACAAGACAAACTAAAAACAAAGTCCTGTGAGAAGCTCGACAGCCACTATGTGTAATCGTTGGCAGCGCCGCAGACACTAAAGGAGTGCGCGCACTTGGAAGTTGATGCAGCCAATAAGCAGGTATATCTTCCAGGTGCCAGCGCCACGCCGTGGCGGGCAAACAGCCCTGGCTGCCAGAACAAAACAACACCCGTGCTCATATCAGCAAGACATCGCACCACAACCCAACTCAACGTAACAGATGACAGGCACTCCTTGCCAACACATCATCAAGGACCAACGAAAGGAAACCGCAGCGCAACGCAACGCAACGCAACGCAACGCAACGTAACACAACGTAAGCCACCACGGAAAGCGGAACTTCAGAAGCCAATCAAAACCAAAGTCGACTAAAAACGGGACTTAACGGACGGCCCTTCCGCACCGCCCGCGGATCCACAGTTTGTCAGCCAGCCGCAACGCAACGCAACGCCTCACGCGGACGCCGCCCAGCAACACAACACCAAGCCGAGAGCTCCTCCAGCAGCACGACCACAAACCGTGCGCCTCTCCGCTAACACAACACCAAGCCGGGAGCAATTCCACTGGCACAACACCCAGCCGAGAGCCGCCGCAGCCACACAACAGCCCGAGCTCGGCAGCGGTCGCCGGCGTTGCCCCGAAGCCCCGGCCGGGCCAGGCGCGTCCCGCGCCGCCGTCGGGAGGAGCCGGGCCGGCGGGTGGCGGCCGCCCGACGCCGCCTCACCTGCCACGAGTTGACCGTGTACTCGTCGCCGGCGTCCAGGTTGGTGCCCGAGTCGTCACTGCCGCTGGAGGAGGCCGACGCGCGCCGCGCCTACCGCGCCCGCCACCGGGGTTAGTGGGGTTAGTGGGGGCGGGGGGGGGGGGGCGGTTAGAGGGGTCACAGCCGAGCAGCGGGCGGTGGCCGGGCGTCAGCCGCTGGGGGGGGGGGGGGGGTCAGAGAACCAGGGCAGCACTGCCGTCGGGAAGAGAGGAGTGACCAGTCCCGTGGTGACGAGGTTGATGGACGGGTCGTCTCCTGATGACGGCGGAGGAGCCGTAGGTCAGCAGGGGGCTAGCGGACCGGTCGGTGGAGTAAGGAGAGCGGTCTCTGACAGCTGACAGCCTGCCAGTGCTGCGACAGTGGGGCGGGAGAGGCTTCAGCGACGGAGAGCTGGACCGGCAAAGGCAGAGCGCCCTGGTGAGCGGCGGGCTGTTCGCTGGAGATGGAAAGGGTGGCTGACGTGGTCGCCAGCAATGCACGGACAGCGTTAGACGCTAGATGTTAGCTGCATAGGCATGGCTGCGGCCAGATTGCAGAGTGCGAACGGTGAGTGGACCAGGCTTATCAGGATCAGCGGCCTTAGTACTGAAGATCTCAGGAGTCCGAGACCACACCAATCGCCGCGGGTCGGCACCGCGACACAAAGTATCACGCTTAGGTCAGTAGACAGCAGGCGGATCGGCTGCAGGCGGCACGTCAGTGCCCCCAACCGTGCCCAAGTGGCGTAAAGACGTAGGACGGAATGAGAGCGGACAGGTCGGTGACTTGTTAGACATACGCCTCCACTGGGTCAGCTGGGGCGGGGTCGTCCTGTCAACGGTGGGATAATGAACCCCGTGTTAGACCGTCACAATTGCACACGTGCAACTCGCGTCACACTGCGTCGCGAACCGCTCCACAGCGCTTGAAGCTGCAATGACACGGGATGCCACTCGCACAACTTGGCAACACAGCAACTCGCCCATACAGCCCGACACCACATCTCGTCAGTCGTCGTTTGTTGAGCAGCCACGTAAGAAACAAACAACACGTACGCAACGCGCAAACAGGCAAAGACGCCACACCGCTCCGACGCCTCGCCGCCGCCGTTAAGGTCGCCGCTGGCGCGCGTGCCGGCGGACACCCGCCCCGCCACGTGACTCCGCGCGACGAGTGGGGCGCCGCAGAGGGACCGCCGGTTCCAGCGGCGAGCGCGGCGAGCGGGGGCTAGGGCTGGCCTGGAGCGGCGGCGGCAGACGAACGAGAGACGAGGCAGAGGGATGGGGCAGCGGGACGGGAGGCCAACGGAGAGAGCGATAGAGGTGGGTGGGTGGGTGGTGCACGAAAATGCGCAGATCGAATGACTTCTGGCAAAGATCAGAGGACGGAGCGGGGACAATTCCCGGGCCATGGCCGCTTAATGATAACCCAGACTGAGCTCCGCATTCGAAACGCGGATTTATCAACCAGCTCCACGACGAAGACCACGACGGTCGGTTATGTGATGTTGATAACGCCAGGCTGCAGAGGACTTTGTCACCTAGTTATCCTGTGAACTTAACGTCAGTCCTGTGTATACTGAGAGTTGTCAGTTCCTTCATTACGATAATGCTGCTTGTCGGCCAGCGGTATGGCGCAGCACACATAAACGACACGTATCTGTCGCGTGTTGGAAGGGCTGGAAACACCACACCATGAAAGCGTGGCATGACATGGAAACACGTCAGTCCACGGTCCAGAATGCGCGAAAGACAGCAGCGAAGGACGCCGTCTTGCGTGCATGACAGGAAACACACCATGTGCGCGTGGCTTTCCACTGTCCGGCTCCTGCCGACATCGTGCCAGTGCAATCACGCGGCAGACGCGCTGTGACGGTGCCCGCGTGCACCCCAAACAGCGCGAGCATGCTGGCGACGCCGCTCCAGGAGCCGCACGCCGGGACGACACCGTCGCTCCGGCAGCAGGAAAGGAGCCGGCGGCGAACAAGGCCGTAACACACGCCCACGTGCCGTGCCGGTGCAGCCCAGTGCGAGCCCTGACACACCACCGGAAGAGAGACGCCGGAGTGCGCAGCGCGCCGGCCGCCCGGCACGAGCAACCGCCCCGGGCCTGGAGCCGGTGCGGGCATCTCCATCGGGTGCTGACCGCTGTGAGCCCGGCCGCCGCACCGCCGGCCGAGCGGCTAACCTTGGGCTTCGTCTCAGGGAGCGCCGGACGCCGGTAGCCGCGCCGGTAGCCGGCCGAGTAGCCAGAGTATCCAGAGTAGCCCGAGTAGCCCGAGTAGCCCGCGGAGCCCGCGGAGCCCGCCGAGCCGGTGGCGGCGGAGGCCGGCGCGCCGCCCGAGCTAGTGTACGGGCGCGGTCCGAGCGACTGGCGCAGACGGCGGCCGTCAGCGGAGCCCGCCGCACGCGGGGTTAGTGCCACCAGCCCAGACACCAGGTGGAGCGAGGGCGAGACGTGAGTCGGGCTGCGCTGGCAGCGCGCTGGGCGCGCGCTATTTGGGTTAACCAGCGCGACCGCCACCTCGTGTCTGGGAAGTCTGAAGATGCGGCGTAACACACTGCTGGGCCCCGGATGCAATGGCATCGCCATCAGCGCGCCTCGCTGTCACCGCAACGCGGGGTCACTGACGCAACGCAGGGTTAGTCACGGTATCAACAGGCGCACGATCCTCCTCTCCGGGGAGCTGATTGGCGCCGCCAGTATTCGGGCCGGGCTGGCGCGGGGGAGCTCGGCCGCACCCGGCCGCCAGGAGGCGCGCCGAGGCGCCGGGCCGCCCACACTCACCAGCGCGGGCCGCGCGGCGGCCGCGTCGCCGTCGGCGCCCACGATCAGCTTGCGCGTCTTCTGCACCTCCTGTGTCAGAACCGTCTGCTCCTGGTGCGTGGCGCTGGTGGTGGTGGTGGCGGCGAACGTCTTCTCCTTCACCTGGCGGGTCAGGAGGCAGCAGTGAGGCGCATGCGGCTGAAGGGGGACTTCGCGGTGAAGTCACGGAACCTTCCGGGGATAAAACGTGCCCACAAAGCTCCGCATCGGATGAGTGTAACAGGTATTAACTCGCTGGTACTAACCCATACCAGCTGATTCAACTTCTCAACGCAACGATACTCAGGGGCAAAATATTTCGAAATTATCGCGGTGTTTAATAGATTTGACTAGGCATGATGTTGGACGACTTACGCGAGGGACAGGAGAGCGGAGACGAGCGCGGTGATAACAAGGAGAAGGCAACCGATGAACCATGCGGAGAGGACCAGGGTAGGAGGCCAGGGAGCGCTGACATTGGACGACACCTGGCAACCATCCCACGGCTCTGTAAGTCTCAGACCGGACACTTCAGTGCGCTCCCAGTGTTACCGGGTGGGATGGTTGGGCAGCGTTTAAGTGACATTATCTGCGAACAGTTCCAAACGCATGAAGCTCGCAAGCAAACAGCGAATGCCAAAGACAAGATGCTACAAGGTGCTAAATGGAAGAACACTTACACTTGAAGACGTGCGTCAGGACATCCATTCCATTACTTGTTCACCTCTTTTTAATAAAGTTCACCTCTTATTTCAAGAAACGCACAACTTCGGTGTACTTATCACAGCATCTCACGCTGTCCCCCGAAAGTTAACTGCAGGCTGGCAGTTTTTATCCAGCCTGGGTGCAAAAACCGAGCGAGCCTACTCAGCGACAATCGCCTATGGCTTTGTATGCGTCCCCCGAAAGCACGACGGGTCCCACCGTGTCTACCACGCACCGCCCGCTCACTCCCCACACTTCAACGCTTCCCAATGCTTCCCGCGGGCGCCTCCGCCGCCCCGACGGCTTGTGCGTGCGGGCCGCGGCGCCGCGCGTCGCTCCACACCCACCTGTCCCCAGCTGGTGTCCGGCTGGTTCTTGTCCTCGTGCATCTGAGCCGTGCGCGTGGTGACGGTGGTGGCCATCACGTGCGGCCCCCGCTCACCGGTACTGTCCAGCTGCAACACGTGCCACGTGCCAGCCGCCGGCCACAAGCGCCGCGTGGGCGGGCGGGGAGCCGATGGGCGCGGGGTGAAAATCAGCGGGGTATCAACCGTCAGCGGCTTACGGGAGACCGGACACTCGAGCACAAAGCTTGAAGCAGAGTCGACCAGCTGCTGTGATGGGACTGGGGGGGGGGGGGGCACGCGCGTCCGTCCAGCATCGGCGGTCAGCCGGCCGGCAAGCGGTGGACGAAGCTCGGCTTCGGGCCTCGCCGGTGGACACGATGCTACACCGAATGCGAAACACCGACGTGCGCCGCACATTCCGGGGTTCGAGCCATGCCGGGTGCGGGACTAGCGCTACCATACGATGCGAGTGGCGCTCTCCGCGCCGGTGACGGCCGCGTGAGGGTTGGTGGGTGAGGGGGGGGGGGCTCACCTTGTTCTGCGCCTGCTCTACCGTCACCTCGCCCGTGTTCAGGTCCTGCACGGCGCGCACCATCTCCTCGGTGGTGCCCGCCTGGTCCTTCACCATCGTCTTCTTGGTGGTCGTCTTGACGATCTTGGGCCCCTTGGCGCTGGCGCGCAGTTTGGCAATGCGCTCGTCCGTGTCCGGCAGCTGGTCCTCCGCGTAGCCCTCCATCTCAGAGTCGCTCTCCGACGACGAGGAGGACGAAGAGGACGACGAGGACGAGCTCGACGACGACTCGTCCTTCTTCTTTTTGTTCTTCTTGTCCTTGGCCGCCGCGTCGCCCTTGGCCTTGTTCTTCTTGGAGCGCTTCTTCGCATGCTTGGCGTCTTCCGCCGCCGATCCTGTCAGCTCAGCCACCTCTTCAGACTCCAGCGTGCTGTCCAGGTCAGGAAGAGCCGACAACCCGCCCTTGTTCTTCTTGCCGGTCTTATCCTTCTTTTTGTCCTTGTCCTTGTCCTTGTCCTTTCCGGACTTAGACTTGGACTTATCTGCGTCGCCGCTTTTCTTCCCCTTGTCCTTGCTCTTGTCCTTGCTCTTGTCCTTCTTGTCCTTCGTTTTCTCGGGCGACGACTCGGCCGCGCTCGATTCGCTCTCAGACACCTTCTTCTTGCCAAAGCGGGCGAAGATGCCGCCCGACTTGGGCTTCTTGGCCGACTTGGCTGCCTTCTCCGTCCCCGTCGCAACTCCCGCCTTTCCGGCAGCAGCACCGGCGGCGTTAGCCGCCTTGTCCCCGGCAACCGCGGCGTCCTGCCCGGCTCCGAGCTCGCCGGCGGCACCGGCTCCCGCCTTCCCGGCGATCCCACCAGTGCCGGCGGCACCAGTTCCCGCCTGCCCGGCAATCCCTCCAGCATCGCCGACACCGGCTCCCGCCTGCCCGGTGATTCCACCGGCACCGGCGGCACCGGCTCCCGTCTGCCCGTCGAGCCCGCCAGCGCCGGCGCGCACCGCCGTCGGCGCCAGCACGGCGCCGACGCCGGGCAGCGCGGAGCCGTCGGCGCTGGCCAGCGGCGCCGTCCCCTCGCCGCCCGCCGATGCAGCGCCTGGCGCGTAGTTGAACGCCGTGGCGCGCTTGGTGGCCGGCGAGATGGAGGTGTTGAGCTCTTCGTGCGGCTCGGCCGAGCCGGCGCGGCCGCTGTACGAGAAGCCGAGCTGCGAGGTCGGCAGCGATTTGCGCACGGCCGCCTCCTCGTCCTGATAGGTGTACTCGCGGGTGTGGCCGGCCGGCCGGCCGTCCGCAGACGCCAGGAAGGAGGCCCGCGCACCGGCCGCGGCTGAGCCGGTCGGCGCGCCGGTGCCGCCGCTCGGCGAGCCCAGCCGGCCCGGCTCCCGCTCGTACCGGCCGAACGCCGAGCCGGCCGAGCCCAGTCGGACGGGGGTGGCGCCCGAGCCGGGGGCAGCACCGGAGCCCGGGATGGCGCCGGTGCCGGAGCCGGACCCGGCGCCCAGGCCTGACCCGGAGCCAGACCCGGAGCCGGCGCCGCCGCCCAGTCGACCCGGCTCCTTGTCGTAGGAGCCGAGGCGAGCGCCGGCGACGGAGCCGCCTGCCGGCGAGGGGGAGGCGCCCAGCCGGCCTGGCTCCTTGTCGTAGTTGGTGAGGCGGGCGCCGGCAGGAACGCCGCCCGCCGGCGACGGCGACGCGCCCAGCCGGCCCGGCTCGCGCTCGTACGAGCCGAGCCGCGCCGTGCCGTTGGCGCCGGGGCCGGGTGAGCCCAGGCGGCCGGGCTCCCGGTCGTAGGAGGCGAGGCGAGCTCCCGCGGCCCCGCCGGCGCTCGGCGAGCCGCCCAGCCGGCCCGGCTCCCTGTCGAACGAGCCGAGCCGCGCGCCGGTGCCGGCGGCCGGCGACGGCGAGGCGCCCAGCCGACCCGGCTCGCGCTCGTATGCGCCGAGCCTCACGCCGCCGGCCGCCGGCGAGCCGCCGGCGCCCAGCCGCGCCGGCTCCTTCTCCAGGGAGCCGAGCCGGGCGCCGGTGCCTGCGGAGCCGCCACCGCTGCCGCCCAGCCGTCCCGGCTCGCGGTCATAAGAGCGCACGTTGCCGCCGGCAGGGACGTCGGAGGCGTTGTTGGCCGGCGCGCCGCGGCCGGCCGCCTGCTGGTGGTGAGGCGGCGTGGCGGCGCCGTTGGTGCCCTCACCCTGCCGAGCGCCGCCGCGCGCGCGCCGTTAGACATGCGGACAAACAGACGGCGGAACAGACGGGTCGACAACCCAGGCTCAGCGCCGACCAAAAAGAGCAAACGCAAAGAAATGAATGTGGTAAATAACACAACAGACGTCGACATAAACGGATAAAAAATTTGACAGGCATCTTTATGAGGCTGCTGGCATTCGGTAAGTCACGACCACACCGATGTACGTGCGCCAGTCACTGAGAGCGCCTTGCAAACGACTACTCGCAACCACAACACGCCGAAGACCGAAGTCCGCAAAGCTAACGAGGACGACACCAGCAAGCAATTCCAGCGCCGCACCCTTCATGGGGGGCGGTATACCATGCCGGACTGGAAGGCTATGGCGGCTCTCGTGCGGGGTCACTGCTGCTGCTGGCGGCATGCCTCACCGAGCACGCACGCACAGGGAAACGACGGGAGAGACCGAGGCGGCTCACCTTACGCGCCTTGGAGAGGTCCATGGGCGGCAGAACGGCCACGCCTCCCACCGGTCTCTGTCGACACAGACACGGCACGGTTAGCCCCGCCGCGGTACGGGCGTGTTTTTATGAAGCGGGTCAGGCCGTGCAGAGCTGTTAGGGCACTGCCGGTATAGACGCGTCAAACACAGGAAGTTGGACGAACGTCACTTGTCAATGGCTGGCCCTCATGAAATGGTTAGCATGTTATGCGGCGTACAAGACATGTTCAAAGATTGTCAAGCTCAAGTACATCATGCAGATGGTTAACAAAGCAAGCAGAAATATAACTGGTGGCCAACAGTCAGAGCTGCCTTACAGCTGCTGCAAGCAACGAGATCACCGAAGGCTAGCCTTTCTGGGCGACGACTAAAAATGCCGTCAGTCAACCGGTAATCCATGCGAGCTTTCCTCTCAGCATGCAGAAGCGCAACACATGCGGGCAGGCGGCTGGGGTTGCCGACGCGACCAAGCACAAGCGGCCCATTCCACGAGTCGACAGCACTGGCCGCCGGACCGTATGGTGGCTCCCGCCTCAGCCGGCTCCCACGACGCGCGGTGCCGGCGGCTTGTTCGGCCCGTCCTGAGCCCGCCCCGGCTCGGCTGGCCGTCCCACTTCACGCCACGAGGGAGAGGCGAACTCCTTCAATCTTCGCGAAGGCTGACTCCAGACCGTGTCGGACACGACACGGACAAGGACTCACATGTGGTGGCCGTGCTTCCCGACCTACAGACCAGGACGAACCAGAAGCGGACGCGGACTCACTACGACACGGCCAGTGGTTTTCCACTCATGAGATCCCTTTCCAGACAACGGCCGACGCAGGGTCAGCAGGGACTCAACGACGGGCAGGGAGCCGCGTTCGTATCAATCAGCCCTCACAGCGGGACGCACCGGAAGACGACGCAGGCTATCACCGTGGATAGCGAAGATCTCAGCTGCCGCTGGAGACGTCTCCACGCCAGGACGGACGACACGGACTCACCAGGAGACAGTCCCGGTTTCCCCCCCGAGCACTGGTCTCCAGAGCAGGACGGACGCGAAGCGGACTCACCACGCCAGCGCACCGGGCTCGGGACAGCGACGGAAGCCAGCCAGCCGCTACAATACCTCCTCCTGCTCCTCCTCGTGCTCGTGCTGCCGCCGGCCGCGGCCCTGCTGCAGCGGGTGGGTACGCGGCGGCAGCGGCGGCGCCGCGTTCACGTACATCGGCGGCCGCTCCGGCAACGGCGGCGGCGGTGGTGGCGGTGGCGGCGGTGGCGGTGCGCCGGCCGGCCAGTCGCCTCCGTTGCTGTAGAGCGGCGCGCGGGCTGGCGTGTCGTACCAGGCTGGCCCGTGACCGTGCCAGCGCGGCCTCCCGCTCCCGCCGGCGCCGTCCTCGGAGAAGAGCGCGCCGTGCGCGTCACAGCAGCGAGATTCGTATGCTTGGTTACCGGCGGAGCGACGTCCTTCGACGTCGTGCTGCTCGCGACGAGTGCGACAGTCTGGGTCGCACAGGTGAGCTCTGTCATAGTTGTGGCGATCGTAGTGATTTCCGCGCGGGTGCTGGTATGATTTATCGGCGGCGTACGCGCCACGGTCTGGGCCGCCCTCACGCCAGCCCTCCGCGTCGAACATCCCCGAGTACCTCTGGGCATTCGAGACGAGATCTTCATGTGCTGTTCGGGCATCGCGCCAAGAAATCCGTCCTTGGTTGCCTGGGTTGTATCTTTCAACGTCGTCTAGGCCAACGTCTAGGCCACCGACGTGTTTTTCACCGCGGCCATCACGTCGGTACAATTCGTCGCCTTCAAAACGTTCCGGGTAGTCACGGTCATGCCGGTCTTGCCAGTGCCTGTGGGCCTCGTCGGCATCATACATTTCGCTACTCAAGTACCTCTCACCATTACCAGGCTTAAGTGTACGTTCATCGCCGCGATTCTCCAAAAACCTCTCATTGCCCAATTCATACTCATTCATGTAAGTTCTCGCTGTATCACGGTCTCTCCCTGGCGCCAGCTTCCCCGGGTAATCTCGCTCCCACACTGCATCATCGTCATAGCCGCCACCACGTGTTCCACTCTCCTCTCCGCGCCTTTCATCCACACGCCGTCCTCCACTGCCCTCCTCCCTCCACCTGTCCTGGCCGGAGCCCGCGCCGGCCGGGGCGCCTCCCTCCCTCCCATGGATGTCTGCGTACCGGCCGCCGGCGGCGCCAGCGCCGGCCATCCGGTCCTCTTCGCCGCGCGCGCGCCGCAGCAGCACGCTCTCCTGCGGCGCACCGGCCACGCGCTCCACCACGCCAATGCTGATGATGTCGGAGAGGTGCAGCGGCGGCGGCGGCGAGCTCGGCAGCGGCGGCGGCGCCACGTACGAGTCGACCGACGCCAGTGACGCCGGCCGTGGCGGCGGCTCGGGGCCCGCCGTCGGCTCCGCGGCCATCGCGAGCGCCGCCGGCTGGCCCCGCGGCACTGGGTAGTAGTACGTGCGCTCGCTCGGCCGCTGGTAGTGACCGCGGTAGTAGAACGCGTCCTCCTCGGCCGCCTCGCGCGCCCACGGGTTCCGCAGAACCGTGGCGTCGGCCGGCGGCGGCGGCGGCAGCGGCTGCTGGGCTGCCGGGCGCAGCGGCGAGTCGGCCGGCGGCGGCGGCGGCGGCAGCTCCCGCTCTGGCCGCCGGTGCCGGTTGTACTCGCGCTCCTCAGCGGCGCGCAGCCGGTGCCGGCTGCTACCCGGCACGGCCACGTACGCATTCTCCTCCGACTCCGAGCCCGGCGGCTGGTCGGGGGATGGAGGCCGCTCGCTGGCCCGCGACGCCACGGCCAGCGTGTCCTCCGTGGCGGACAGGCTGTCAGCGTCAGAGCGTGACTTCTTGCGCAGGAACTTGGGGCTCTTCCAAAAGGCCTTCTTCTTGCGCTCCCGGTCCTCGAGACTGCCCAGCGACTTGTGAGGCGGGTCGTCCTGCTGCGCCCTGCTACTGGACGACTTCCGTCGGTCGCTGGAGGCGCTCTCCCCGTCTGAGTTTTCGTCGTCGCTTTTCGAGCGCGGCTTTCTGAACCAGCTCTTCGTCCTGCCCGACCTGACGGCACTGTTATCCAAACTCTCGTTGAACGGCTCGGAGCCGGACAGCTGCGAGTCCAGCTGCGAGTCCAGCTCCTTGTTCCGCGTGTCTCTACTGCCAGCCGCGTGCCAGGTCTTCCGCTTCTGGTCGGCGCGGCTGAAGCCCCGGTCCTTGTCGCCGACCACAGCTCCCCACGCCCGGTCCGCCTCCCGCTCGTGCTCGCGCTCGGCCGCCTCGGTCGCCCGGCCGTCCGCGCGCCCCGGCCCGCTCCCCGAGGCACTGCCGTCTCTCGGCCGCGCCAGTGGCGCCAGCTCGGTCACGGCCACCACGCCGGCGTTCTGGTAGGCCGGCGCGTCGACCAGGTCGCTCGCCACCCCGTCCGTCGGCGCGTCCTCGAGCGGGGCCTGGCCGGCGACGGAGGCGCGCCGTCGGCCCTCTACCGTCAGGCTGATGGTCTCCACGACGGCCGGTCCCCCGTCGGCGGTGGCGTCGGACTCGACAGTGCGGCCGGACTCGTCGTGCTTGTTTTTGTCGTCGTCCGGTTTCTTGCCCAAAGCGAGCATTCTGCCCTTCATGCGCTCTCTGAAAGACTTCCGTTCCGAATCGGCCTTCTGCGTGAAGGACTGCTCGGCGACTTTGTCGGCTTTGTCATCTGCTGACTGCTTGTCGTGCTTTGGAAGCTTGCTGAACAGCTTTCTACCAATCCCTTTCGACCGTTTGGCGTCGGTGGGACTTTCCCCCGCTTTCTCTCCGCCTTTATCGCTTAGCTTCTCCCGGGATTTCCACAGCTTGCCCAATGGCAGCCTGTCCTTCTTCACAATCTCTCCCGGCGCGTGCTTCCATTCCTCGCCATCGGATACTTTGTCGCCCGTCGGGCCGCGGGACGATCGGCGTTCGTTCGACAGCGAGGCGGAGAAGGCTCTCATCCCCCTCCAGCCGACGTCTTCCGAGTCGACGACTTCTCCCCTGGGACGCTTCGAGACGACGCTGAAGGCCTTGGTACCCTTCCAGCTGCCTTTTTTCGAGTCTGCGAGGCCACGCCTGTCGCGCTCCGGCCCGACGCTGAAGGATTTGGTCCCCTTCCAACCGGCCTCCTCCGGCCCGACCGGCCCGCGCCTGCCGCGCTCAGAGCTGATGGTGAAAGACCTGGTGCCCTTCCAGCCGGCTTCCGCCGAGCCGACCGAGCCGCGTCTGCCGCGATCCGACCCGATGCTGAAGGCCTTGGTGCCCCTCCACTCGGGCGGCTCGTCGGCGTCGGCGTCGGCGGCAGCGACAGCACGCAGACTCCTCAGGGAGCCGCCGAGCCGGCGACGACGACGCCCGGTCGGCACCGTCACCCCTCCCGTCTCCAGCACGCCGGAGGAGCCGCTCAGCCGGCGGCGGCGCCCGGTCGACACGGTCACGGCACCGACGTCGGAGCCGAGCGACGAGCCGCTGAGTCGACGGCGGCGGCCGGTGGCGATCTCCACACCGAGGTCCGAGCCGACCGACGACGCACTGAGGCGCCGTCGCCGTCGGCCCGTGGCAATCTCCAAGCCTATGTCCGAGCCGATGGAGGAGGCGCTCAGCCGCCGCCGCCGGCGCCCCATGTTCATCTCCACCCCGCCGATGTTGGAGCCGACGGAGGACGCGCGCAGGCGGCGCCGCCGGCGGCCGCTGCTCACTGCCATCGCGCCCGTGTTCGGTATCGGGATGCGCAGCGCAGACAGCTCGCCACTGCGGCGGCGCCGGCGGTGACCGAGCGGCGCGGCGAGCTCGGGGAGCGGCCGGCGGGGGCCACCCTCGGCGACGGCCACCGCCGGCGCGCCGGCCGCCAGCAGCGTAAACTGGCGCGTCTCGGCGTCCGCCGGCGCCTGGCCAGCGCGCATCTCCTCCCGCCGCTTGACGGCCGCGTCGGCGGCGTGCTCGGCGCTCAGGCGGCGGACGCGGCGCGGTGGCGACGCGGCGCCGCCTCGCCCCGGCCAGGCTTCGGTCGACGACGGCGTCTGGTACTGGTAGCGGTCGGTCACGGCGACAGCGGACGCCGGAGGCGGCGGCGGCGGCGGAGCACTTGGGCGGGAGGGCGGGCTGGATGGGGAAGGAAAGGTCGAGTCTCGCGAGTGAGACGGAGCCGGGTCCTCGAACGCGCCACTCGAGCGCTTCGGCGACAGCTGTGGGGCCCCGTCCTTGTTTTTCGACGATCTACTGAAGTGCTTGGCGGGCAGTGGCGGGGCTTCGTCCCGCTGAGCGGACGATCTGCCCGCATGCTTCGCAGGCAGCGGCGGAGCAGCACCGGAATGCCTGCCGGGCAGCGGCGGAGCTCCATCCGGCGGCCAGTCGGACGCGTCGTTGGCATACTCCGACACCGACGGCGCAGAGCCCGAGACAGCTCCAATCTCGCCGTCCGAACCGTCGGCCTGCGGCGGGAACGAGAGTCGACGCCGGTAGCCCGAAGTTCCCGGCGAAACTCCCGGCGAAGCTCCGTACGCAGCCCGTCGCCCGACGCTGCCGAGCTTCGGCGGCAGCGGAGGCGTGCCGCCTGAGTACCCAGCGTGTTTCGGCGGGCGCGGCGGGGTGCCGCCGGCGTGCCGCGCCGCTGCGCTGCGTACTTCGGCGGCAGCGGCGGCGTTCCGTCCGCGGCAGCCGACGCCGACAACCGCCGCCGCGCGCCGTCCGGGGGCGTGCCTATACCGCCGCTGGACGGTCGCCGCGGCGCGCCGGCCGCCTCTCCGCTCTGGCCGCCGTCCGGGGGCGTGCCTATACCGCCGCTGGACGGTCGCCGCGGCGCGCCGGCCGCCTCTCCGTTCAGGCCGCCGTCCGGTCCGGACCGCGCCCGCGCCTCTCCGTCCGGAGGCTTGCCGAGGCTGCTGGTCGCCATCGACGGCCGCCGGGGCGTCCCACCCGTCTCTCTCTCCAGGCAGCCTTCCGATCCGGACCTTGGCCGTCTCCCTCTGTCCGGCAGTTGGTCAGGACTGCTGGCGGCCTCCGGCGGCGGTGAGGCCGGTCTCTCCGGCTCCCGGCGCCCGGCCAGCGCCGCGCGCTCGGGCCTCGGCCGTCCCAGCGTCACCTCCGCGGCCGTCTCGACGCCCGCCTCGGGCGAGGCGGAGCGCTGGCGGGCGGCGCGCGCGCCCGGCCACGTCCGCTCGGCCGACGCCGGCCGCCGCCGCACCGCCAGGCAGCCGTCCGAGCGCGAGAGCGGCTCCTCCTCCAGCGTGTACGACGCCTCGCTGTCGGTGAGCGAGAGGTCGGAGCCCGACAGGCTGGCCCAGTGCACGCTGTTCACCTAGAACAGGCGCCCGGCGCAGGTTAGCGCCGCTCGCCCGCGCTAAGACGAGCCCGGCATGCGGAGGCACGTGCGGCGGGAGAAACCGTGTGTGCGGGAGATGTTAGTGTTAGCGGTTATGGCGGGCGACTAATGGTGGAACTTCTACCGCGGAAGGGAGTGGTTAAAGTTGGGGAACGTGCATCCAATTAGTCTCAAGCAAAGCATGCCACCATCAAGTCAAATGGCGTCAAACATTCGTGTCATACCATGCTCTGAAGACATGCAGGTCCTTATCCTGAGAGAGGGAGCACCCCTGATTTAAGGGTACACGCCCGGGGCACTCAGCTCACGTTCATGGAGAACATAGTTCACGTCACACAAAAAGCTCGGTGTTTTTGATGAAGTATTTCCACGCAAGAACGATGTTCTTTTTTTCCTTTAACAGATTCTAGAGCAGCGTTCATAACGCGCCTGTAAAGGTTCCGCACTCTCAGCGGCACTGCCCAAAGGGCGCGGCCCCAACCTGACCACCGACCCCTCACACCCAGCCCCAACCACACCCGTCACGCCTCGCCACGCCTCCACCACATCGGTTCCATCGGTCTCCACCGGCTCCCGGCCGGGCCCCGGTAGGCCGGTGGCGGCCCACTCACGCCTCGCTCCTTGGGCTTGTCGGTGAGCTGCGGCGGCGGAGGCCGCTCGTCCAGGCCGGGGATTTCCTTGGGCGGCGCCGTCATGGTGTGCCGCTTGGGGTCGGCCTGGCGCGCGTCACGGCCGCCGCCGCTGACGCTCAGCGCTGCCGGACCGGGTCAGCGCGGTCAGACGGGTCAACGGGGTCAGCGGGGTCAGCGGGGTCAGATCGGTCAGCGGGGTCAGACGGTTCAACGGGGTCAGCACGGTCAGCGGGGTCAGCGGGGTCAGCACGGTCAGGGGGTCAGCACGGTCAGCGGGGTCAGCACGGTCAGCGGGGTCAGCAGTCACGGGGTCAGGGTCAGCGGAGGTCAGCGGGGTAGCAGGGTCAGCGGGGGTCAGCGGGGTCAGCGGGGTCAGCGGGGTCAGCGGGGTCAGCGGGGTCAGCGGGAGGCGAGAGGTCGGAGAGGGGCGGCGGGGACGGGCGACAGGACACCAGGACCGCAAGATAAGCGGCTGGGTGTAGCGGGGTGGTTAAGTAGGACGCGCAACTCGGGTGGTGCTTAATTCAGACCAAGCCGAGCAGTTCGGCCATAATGCCCATACAAACACCGTACTTATTCATATTGCAAGGGCGCATACGACATTCTGGGCCCAGTACTGTGAGGACACCCCACGTTTCGACCACCTTAACGTGCTGACAAACGCGTTAACCGGCACAAATCAGACTCATCGCCCTCCTCCCTCCCCCTCCCCCCCCCCCCCCCTCCGCTCGCCCTCGCCACTCACGGTCCATGCTGCGGCTGGAGACGGCGCGGCCGCTGAGCGCGCGCCGGAACTGCGGCGACGGCCGGTCCGACTGGGCCGTCTGCATGCGCGTCTGGTACTGGGTGCGGCCCGAATACCGGAACTTGGAGCCCAGCCGCGGCAGATGGTGGTCCCGCTCCGGCGGCTCCGGCGACATCAGTCTGGGGCAGAGACACAGGTCAGGTCACAGATCACAGGCCACAGGCCACAGGTCACAGGTCAGGTGGATTCCCGTCCGGCGGATCAAAAGACATCAGTCTAGGCTCAGACACGAGGTCAGGTCACAAATGTCAGGGAGGGTCAGGACGGGGCAGGTCTGGGTACGTGGGAGTTCCCCAAGCTTCAGCGGCATTTAAGACACCAATCTGAGAGGCAGATACAGGCCAAGCGAGAGAAAAAATCTCGAACAAAGATTTCAGCAGGTCGGTTTCCTGGGAGTAATATCGACCTTGGCTTTGGGAAACAAAGCCAGGACACTTCGAGAAAACAGCGCTCTGCGTACAACCTGACTCCACTTGGGTTCTTATCTCAGAATCGAACGAATTCTCTCACGGCCGGTTCACCGTGTCTCCTAAGAACAAAGGGAGGTGGACCATGCTCCCGCTGCGCCGCAGTACGCAGCAGCGAGCTCCGCGGACAAAATGTTTCCCCATTACGCGGCCAGATATCCCTGGGGTAAATCGAGGCTTCGTTTGCCAAAGTGCAACTGGTGACATGATGTCCTCTCTGTGATTGCATTGGCGGAAAGGCCTCGGACGGAAAGGCATCCCAATGGCGGAAATCTGCACGACTTGCCCTCTTGCTGAATGTCACCCTTCTCACCGCCGTTGGCTAGTGTCCCAGCCGGCTCATGTTCGGTGCAGAACAATCGTCATGAACGGCACATTATCTGTGAGTCACCGACAATAAAGCCTGCAATCCCGCGATAGGCCTCTGGCATTTCATCTCCCCGATAGCAGCGAGCCGCCCCTCGTGCGACGCCTGGCGTATCAAATCATTGAGGGCAGTAGCGCATGTCATCATCCCAGCAGCGTGATAACGCCACGGTTCGCCACCATACAGATCATGCCAAAAGAATGCAGCATCCTCTCACCTGAAGAACGTGTGATTTTCCACGCAGGTTTTCCACAGCTTCTTGGCCTTCCTGTGGTTCATGAGCTTGAAGCCGATCGTTGTGAGGTGGCGCTCGAACTCGCCCGGGCGGATCTTCACGAAGAAGTTGTTTCGCTTGTAGGAGATCTTCAGTATCTTCGGCCATGCAAAGCGGTTTATTCTCAGCCTGCAAACGCAAAATAATCATGGTAACACAAGCAAGCGGTTTGCTGAAAAAAAATGCGTATCACAATTTGTTTTAACATAGCTGAACAAAGCATGCCGCGCCACCAGATCTACGCCACTCAGATGTTCCACCTTAGTCCTGATTTCACCCATTGACATCAGCGTTCAAGTGACATATAAGGCAAACGTGTTTTTCTGGTGCATGCCTATAGCACGGGAAAAAAACGCGAACAGAGCACCTGCCCATTATGTCAGGCACATCCATGTCACCTCACAGCCGCGCATGCCTTCTCGTTATCAGTTCAAAACATGCGCGAGACTAACACATCACGCCAGGCAGGAGCGGGACCACTACCCGCCTGCAGCCCAGCGCCAGCCCGTGCGGGCAGCCGCGCCGTCGTCAAACCCACTTGTCCCGGTAGACGAGCAGGCCAGAGGCGCAGATGCCCAGCATGATGTCGATGCCCTCAGAGTCCTTGGCCTGGTGCAGGTCCACCCCGTACATGGCCAGCTTCTTGGCATTCTCCAGGTAGTGCATCTCCGCCTCGGCAGGCGTCTGACCCCTGCGGAGGTCACGAGGTCACCAGAGGTCGCCGGCGCTCACCACACCTTTATCTGGACTGTATCACTGTCAAACGGGCATTAGGTGATGTCGGCGCAGGTCTGGTTCGTTCAGGGAGCACTGTCGACCGCGTTAGCATAGATCGGCAGAGGCTAAACAGGCGTCGCCGGCGGACGGTGACAGCTGAGGTCAGCGGGTCACACGGCTACATCGACAACAGCAGGGCTCGGTCCCTCCGATGGCTTGTCTCCCGCCGGCGACGGAGCTGAGCCACTGGGCCATCGCACAGGACGAAGCCCAGACAAACCGCCCAGTGCTGCCCCCCCCCCCCCCCCCCGAGCCAATCCCGACAGGCGCGACGGCTGGCTGAAGCCGATGAGCGCGGTGAAGAAAAGGTTCTCCAAGCCGGCATCGTGCCGAGGCGCCACCACAGCTGTGCAGTCGAGCGCCAGCGAGATTTCGAATATTTCCGACCTCCCGAAGGATTTGCGGTATTCACAGTGGGTTTTAATTAGCAGTTACCGACAGCCGTAGCATATATATGAACGAAGTTGAAGCCTCAGACGGGCTCAGACGGCACGGACGTGACCGATGTGCAGGGAAGGCGCCATATTTTGCATATCAAACGTTATTGCTGTACTTTCCAACCCCGCGTCTAGACGTCTTGTGCGTCCGCCTTCTTTCTCCCTTCCCCTCCCGCTGGCCGGCTGATATTGGCTGATTGGTTCGGTTATTTGAATAAGAGTCATTCGGACAGCAATGACCATTTCAGGGCTGTGGGCTGAAGGAGAATGGATAACGGTGGGGCGGACAGACATCCACCTGGGAACCCCACGGCAGGGACCAAGCCCGCGCAGGGACCCCTCTCCGCGCGTGCCTGGCGCTACGACAGGGGCCCCGCCAGAGGGCCCACTCGTCGATGCCGCATACAGTCCGCCTCAGGCAAACGAGGCGTCGAGAGCATACAGCATGCAGCGGTAAAAGGTCGGATCGCGACATCGACTGACCGGAGCGTCTTGTGCAGTTGGGCCACCTTCTCCTCCAGCTCGGGCGTCTGGTTGGGCGCCATCTTGAAGTCGGCCAGGTAGTCGGCCTTGTGCTCGGCCGCGTCGTAGTCGCCCAGCTCCGACTGCACCATGTACGAGCCGAGCAGCGCGTGCGTGACGAACGAGCACGGCAGCCTGCAGGGCAGACGGACAGACGGCGGCGCTGATGCGGAGAGCACGGCGGGCGCCAGACGGCGGACACTGCACGCCGCACAGCAGCCCCGGCAGGCGCCGCAGGCCTACAAAGCCGACACCGCAGGCGGGGAGGCCACGATAGACATCGCCCGCGCCGTCGAGCCGTTCGGCAGCGACCGGGCGACGCACAAGCACGGCAACGTGTGGCGAACAGCTCTGCTGCACCAGAGAGCACGTCATGCCCGATGCCAGAAAGAGCGGCGAGTAAATAATGTCGAAGGAAACCGGTGAGACAATAGACACGCCTACACGTGAAGAATATGCCCAATGAACTTTCATGACCGTGATCGCGTCCGAAGTTCGTGCTGGTAGCTCGGCTGGTTGGAGCGCCTGTCTTCCGACTCGTCTAACCCGTGGCGGGGTGAGGTCGAGTCGGCTCAGCCGTCCGCTGTTTGCCCCTGGCTGGGATTGCCTGCGGTCGGTGGCGAAACCCAACGACCGCAGGCTACCCTCAGCTAAAGGTCGGGTGACATCACAGGATAGGCAGGTGCATGCTGAGCACTGCAGCACGATGAGCTTTCGCCGCCAGCTTCTGGCGTTGACCCGGAATTTCGCGATCAGGTGGTGCGGTCAGGCCTCACGCAACAAGCACTGCTTAGCGTGGGCGCTGATCCCAGAAAATCCATCCAATCAACAGGGTCAGAATCAAAATTGTTAACAGCCGGAGACGCTGTTTAAGGCCTAATGCAGCAGGTTTCCATCACAACAGACATGCAGGACAGCGTATAAAACTTACAACAGACTGTTTTCATAAGCGGCGAAACCCCTCTCCTTTCTAACACGTCTGAGTCAATACGCCCGTCCCCGTCCATCCCTCCGCCCACTGGAGAAGCGTCAGCGCCCTCCTGCTGCCGCCGCCGGCGGCCAAAGAGCGGTGATTCACACCGGCCCCCGCCGTCAGCTGCCGTGACCGGCGGCGCCGCTCCAGTATCGGCCGGTCCATCGGGCGAGCGTGACTATCCACTGCGGCGGTCACACGGTCGGCAGTCAGTCCGACCCGTCCGCTCGCCGCCGCCGACCCATCCGATGACGTCACCCGCCGCGCGCGGCCGACCGTGACGTCACCCGCCCCGCCCGGCTGACGTCATCCCGCGCCGCCGGTCTCGATTTTTCAGCGGCTGACGCTGCAAGCTGGCTGACTGGTCCGCAGCAGGAGTCCACGCGCGGCCACATCAATCGGCACAGGCGCGCACAAGACGCGAGCTCAGCGACGGCGGCAAACACGGCCGTAAAATACCGCGCGCTAACGACAGAGGGGCGCGCGTCACCAGATTTACAGCCTTGCGCGCGACGCGGACGGCGACAAGAAAACACCTGGACCTCGTTTGCTGGGTTATTTATCGACACTGGCGGCTGAGATCGTTGAAGTCGCCACCCCGCTGAACACCGCGTCCAGTGAAATTTGCCTACCGACGGAGTCGAACCCGGGCCTCCCGGTCCCGCGCCGGAGCGTGTCCACCGGGCTACCGCCGTCGCCGGCGACACTCACTTTCCGGTGACGATATCGTTGCGAATCTGCAGGCAGAGCTGATAGCGGGTGATGTCCTCCTTGCAGCTGACCCGGGTCCAGTGGGTAGAACTTGACGGCGAACCGGAACTCCCATGGTTCATCTGCGGAGCGGCGGCGGCGGCGTCAGGACACCGGGTAGCTGACGAGGGCAGTGGCATGACAATGAGCAAATGGGCAAGGAGGGCAGCGTCGTGACAACGTGCAACTGACGAGGAGGATGGCGTCATGACACTGAGCAACAGGCGAGGAGGGCGGCGTCAAGACACTGATTAACTGACAAGAGGGCGGCGTCATGAAAATGGGCGTTAGTCGAGGAGGGTGGCGTCATGACAACAAGCATCTGACGAAGAGGGCGGGGTCAGGACAAGAGGCAACAGGCGAGGAGGGCGGCGTCAGGACAAGAGGCAACAGGCGAGGAGGGCGTCGTCAGGACCTGGGCAAGTGACGAGACCAGACTGTACGCAGACGCGAGCCGGCCGCCCGGGAAGCTGACGACACCCGGCCAGCAGTGACCGGGATGACGAAAGGCCAGGCGCACGGCAAACAGCGGGCAGACGGGGCAAAACACGGCTGACGGAATGCGCTCTAGTTGTCCGTAGTGCGGTGTGAAGTTACCAAGGATCGCGGTCATCCACCTGCGGGATTAACAATGAGCAGGAAACGGATTCCCACATCAGCAGAAAAAAATTGCCGGTAACGTGAAACCCAGCACACAAGGCACGAATCTTAATTCCAGTTCATACCAGACTAGGTGTCAGAAAATTCGATTCCACGGGCCCACTTCCAAAGCACCATTCGCGACGCCACGACGGCCAGGCAGCCACGGCGTCTATTGACTAAACGCGGGATACGACAGCGGGGGTGTTTTGTCGACGAGACGGCCCAACCGGCACCCGAGCCCGGCACGCGATCCCGGCTCGGCGCGCTGATGGCTCCCAACCAGCTGAACTCCGCCCGGCGTGCCGAGGCCAAACCGATGACGTCCGCCGCTGCAGCGCCGCCGCGTACGTGATCGGCCGAGCATGGCCCGCCCCGGCCGGCTGCAATCTGCTCTGCGATTGTGCAGCGCACGGAAATGATCCATCACCGTACCAAACCAGCCGTCTCCGGCGCGCTCCGGAGCCGCCGCTGCGAGCCAGAGCTGGCCGGCCGAGCGGCGGCGCCGGTAAAAACTTCCTGGCGGTGCGCCGGATCAAGGAGGCTTGTGCGCGGCTTGGCTGGCTTTCGAGGGCTCAGCCGAGAGGGCCTGTCGTCTGTTTTTGCCGTGCTTCGGACGCGTCGGACGAGCGAGATCATGCCGCCGCCGCAGCCCGTTCGTACCGAACTCCCAAGCATCGAACATCGCCTCCCAACCGCCGCGTCAGGGAGCCGGCCGCGTTTGCGGCGCCACCCGCCCCGCCCGGCGGTGGACACCGCCGGGGACAATGGCGGAAGTCCCGGCGTCGCGGCGCTGCGGTCCGACGACCGAGGCTCATTTACGTTGGCGCCGGACGACTGTCACCGCCCCCGGCGGCGGGGCGGCCGGCACAAACAGAGCACACGCGCCGCGCGCAGCCGAAACAGCCCAAACGGAGCGAACGGGACGGCGTGGCTGGCATGCGGCCGCATCGGAGTCAGCACTGTGTTCCAGCACCATAATTAAGTCGACGATCAAGGTCTAAGCAACTGCACGTTTCGGTGAGTAATTGTGAAGAAAAGCGTATGCGAGCATTGTCATTGTCACTGCCTCAATCTGCATAGCATGTCGATAAGTTCGCGCCGATGCGTAAGGCGTGTGCCGCCCTAGCACTAAATCTATTGCCTTTGTCCATACAAGGCAGCAGAATATCGCTGTACGTCGTGCATTCCCGGATTAATAAGGTTATTCACTGCTGTCTCGTACAACTTCAAAGTCGGACCATAGGTCAGGTGAGGTTCGAACGGCCTACGTTCAATGTCCATCCATTCCAAATGCACAGGCCATTTAGCTGTACATTACTGTGCTGTAGCTGTATATTAGCTGTACTCGGCGGCGATTTCGTTCAGTCCCTCCATAAAACCCTGCACAAAGCACTGGCGCAAGCCTGTAGCCCGATAAGATACGCCATCACAGAATGTAGTACTGATGTGCACGCCACAATCAGCTCCTTTATCTCACGCCCGGTGTTGACAAAGCCCGGCTGCGTCGCTTCAGTCTCAGCGCAGCGCGGTGTCTCGTGCACGCGTCCCCAAGGACACCTTCGCACCGACCCACTGCGAACTCATCACACTCAGCGCCAGGCTGATGCGACCTCCGGCGCAGCGTCCCGCCGCCGGGCCGCCCACCTGCGCCCCAGAGCACGTGATCAGCAGCTAACGGCTCGGCGGCGGCGGCGCCCCGCTCCGCTCGCGGCCGGCCGGCACCGACCCTGCGCAGCGGCGCCGGCGGCGGCTGGGTCGGCCCGGCGGCTGCCGGCGGCGCTGGCGACGCCACACAGCAGCGGCTGCGTGACACGGTCACTTCGGACCCGGGCGGGCGGGTCGCGCGGCCACGAATAGCCGCCGGACGCCGCTGGTCGATCAGAACTGGACGGCTCGCTGCGGCCGTCCGGCGCCGCCCGGCGCCGCCCGGCGGGGCCTGTCGTGCGTGTGTGTCTGGCCTCGCGCCCACCGCGGCCCTGCAGTGCGTCACAATACCGTCTCGCCGTGGATGCCGTGCATGACGCAGGCCTCGGGCACACCAAGCGACACTCCTCCGTCCAAATTCGCGATCCTGCATTAGCATCTCGTCCCGCACGGCTCCCACCCCAGCTGGCCCCACATCGCCCCGGTTTTGCAGCCGCAACAGCAAGGCACTCGTCCCCTACCCGGGCCGCCGCGCTCGCCGCAGCCGCTTCCGGTGCCGGACGGCTTGGGCCTGGCTGCGGAGCAGGGCCAGCGCCAGCGGCCTGCTGCAGCCCCGACTATGCTGGCGTGACCCCGCCACGTCAGCACAGCGGCCGGGCAGGGCACGCCGCCGGTGTGACGGCGAGGAGAGCGTCTGGTAACGGCCGGGGCGTCAGGGGTGGTCACAGAGCGTCACGGACGGCAGGCGGCCGCGGCGTTTCGGGGTGTGTTAGCTCCGACAGGCCGCCGTCTGAGAGGTGCCAGCGCCTGACGGAGTCCATGTGTAACAGGGAGAGCCAGGGAGAGAGAGAGGCCGCAGTGACGACACCCCGCCGCGTCTACCCCGGGGCCAGGTCACGCCCCGCCCGGCCGCAGCCCGGGCCCGGGACGCTCGGCTGCGACCCAGGCAGTGCCGGGCATCGATCCGGGGCCGGCCCGGTGACGCACCAGGCGGAGATTGTGGAGCGAGCCCGATAGGCGCCAGGAGAGGCGGCCGATGACGAGCGCCGTCCTGACAGCCGCCCAACGCGCCTATCTCGACCACAGCGTGGAGAAAATGCGCAGCTCAACATCGACCTAACCGTGATCGCAAGCCACGCCATCCGGCGCGTAAAAGGGCGCTGGTCCCATGCAGTCTGCCCTTCGGGGATCGTGAAACACATCAACGCGAGGGTAACATTTATGACGCTTAAGTATAATAGCATCACGGAGAAAGTGCAAAACTTAGCATCCTTTAAATCGTGGTTTAAAACTAGCTTATCCAGCATGTACAGAACTATTTCTGCTTTCAGCACCAGTGTCATCGCGTTGCAGGGGCGTAACCTCTACGAGATTAACATACAGTGCGGCGCTAACCATCCTTCCGGTCCGGGCGCGGTGGGGTGACGGGAGGGGGGGGGGAGAGATGCCACCGGACGGTGTCCAGTGTGGTAGTACGGCCGCTCCGGCCCGTTGTGCACGAGTGCCTCCCACACGGAAAGCCTCGCGCGAGGAGCGGCAGACAACGCTGTGGGCCGCGGCGGCGGGAGGGCTGGTCCCACCGCTGGCAGCTGGGCCAGGCCGCGCACAGTCGGCTGGATCTGTCGATCCATCGCCGGGGAGGTTCCCTCCAATCGACGACCAGCAGCTCCCCTGCACACCATCACTTGGCGTCCGCCACGGATGAGACGGAAGCCTCCGCTAGACCCGACGCAAACCTCCCTGTCCTGACATTGGACAAGCGTGACTGGCGACGGCACCCCCGGCGCGACAGCCGGCCTCCGGAAGCCGCCGGGCGGGCGACAGCCGGCGCCCGTCGGCCGGTGTCGGCGGCCGACCCCGGCAGCCCGAGCCGGGCCGGCGCCGAACCCGAGCCGGCCGCTCCCGGAGGCCGGGCGCGCTCGGCCGCGCCGCGCCGGACCTTGGTCGACGCTGGCGCTGACGCCGGCCGCTCGGCGTCGCGCGCCAGGTCGGAATGCCTCGGGCGGGTACCTCCCATATCGCCTAACGGCGGACTGTTCGGCTTACGGGCCAACCCCGCCGAGTCTCCGGACGGCGGATGGCCCGCCGCACGACAGCGGCCGGGCGCAAACACGCCCTAATGCTTCTGATGCTCTTGCTCGCCCCTCCCCCAACCCCCACTGCCGACAAAACATTCCGCGAGTGGAGGCACAGCAGGAGCGAGAGCGCGGAGGAACCGCCAGAAAACCATGTCACCAGGGGCATCGAGATGGTTCTGGCGTGCGTTGACGTTTTTGTATTTGATCGTGCTCTCGCAGCGGGTGAGCGTGGAACCCCCCCCCCCCCCCTCCAACTCAATGCACCCTAATCCCTCCATTGCTCATCTCCCACGAACGACAGGCCATTATCGGGTGCCGTCATCGCTCTCCGACTGTCCATCACAGCCGCTGGCGTCCGAGGCATAAGCCGACCGGGCCGTGTTGACCCAGCCGCCGCTGGGTCCACAGCCGGAGACGCACCGTCAACATGGGGGCGTCCGGGCCGGGCCGCCATCGCTGGCGAACGGCGGCCCGGCCGGCTGCCCGGCCGCTCTCGCTGGCCAACAGCTCGGCGGAGGATCGCCGCACGGAGCAGCGGACCAGCGCAGTGACGCGCTGACGGCCGACGCCGGCCGACGAGGTGATCGGCTGAGGCGCCGTCGGGCTGTTACGCCATCGCATCGCAGAATCACAGCACCGACACACGGACAGGACAGGACGGACGGCGAGCCGCCATACCCACGGACATCGGCTGGCAGACCCGGGCGGACTGCGGATGACCGCCGCACCTGGGGGCCGCAGCTGGCTGCCAGCCCGTCCGGCCGACAGGCCGACGGGAGGCGGCCGGCGAAAAGCGCCGGCGGGGGAAGAGGTGAGAGGCGCGCGCCCCGTCGGCTGCCAATGAGCGCGGCCGTCCGCTCTCAGACACACGCAGCGGCGATAGGACCAGACGCTGCTCGAAAAACCGCCGGCAACGCGGCCGCCGTTTTCCACATCGGCGCCATGCAAAGCCTCGGGGCGGAGTCTGACCACCCTCTGGGAGCGGCGTTCCGCGGCTGACGCGCAGAGGGCTGGGAGATATCCAATCATCGAGATCGTGATGGGGGGGGGGGGGGGGGCAGCACATGCGTCTACGCCCCTAAGCCACATGCTATACCGGCGTACGTTGCGGCGAAACGCCCATCCTCTGGGCGACAACCAAACGATCAGCGGAAGCAAATACCGCGGCACCATGGACTGAGGAGCGACAGGCCGTCCCCGATTTCCCACAGGGATACCGGGGAGGCGAATGTCGCTAATCGCCGCGCCGACAGCGGGGGGGGGGGGGGGTGGGGGTGGGGGTGACTGGACTGTCGGCGCGACGGACTGGCCCGCCGCCGGGGTTCCATTTGTCAGCATTCCGACGCTCAGAGCCCATGATGAGGCTAATCACTGCGCCACCCGAGCGGCCGGTTGTGGGCACGCATCACAGAGCATGTGGGTTGAGCGCGTAATTGTTTGAGGGATTTGTGCTTCAATGAAGCGAGTCGACCACGACAGCATGCAGGTAAAAAGCATGCTGCAATCAAGCGGCGATTACTTCCGATTATCTATTTGATCACATCTGACATCCACACAAAACCACACCAGTAACGAGGCATGTAGAAATCACGCGGCGATTATTCTCAATTATCTTTGTTTGCTCAAACTCGACAGCCGTCAGCAGCCCTCAGTCACCTCCAGCTCCGCACACGTCCAATGGGCGACGTCACGTCCCTCATAGCTTGTCTCCCCGAGATCGGTCACGCCGATCCATGCCACAAATCAGACACACCTTCACATCCGGTCCACGGCCAGGGTCACCCCAAAAGGTCACGCCGGCGATCCGGCCGACGTGCGCCGCCACTTGACGAGCATCAGCGGGCTGCATAATCCATGAGGCGGGCGCGGCCCGGTCGTGCGCGAGCCGGCCGCCGCCGCCGCCACCACCACCGGCCGAGCTGCGGCCGGAACCGGCCCGGAATGTTGCCTCTATCCGCCGGGGCAGCGGCGCACCCAGGCTCGCCGCCCGGGGAGAACGACGTTCTGACGTTGGACTGAGGAGGGCGCCCACCGGCGGCGGCACAATTCGACCCAAGCGGGGGCCAACTCCGCCGCGTGACCCCGGCCGCTCTCGAGCGGCTGCCCGGGCGGCGCCACTGTCGCGCGCGTGCCCCCGCGGCTAGCCAACAGGCGGACAGCCGGCCGGCGGCGAGCGGGGCCGGAACTGGATCGCGGAATGCGGCCCGCCCCGCGCCACGGCGGCAGGACAGGGATGGCGGAGGGGCAGCGGCCCGTCCTCAGCGACCGCACCTGACCGCGACAGATCAGTGGAGCAGCGCCGTTGTGGGGGCCGCGGACGTGCCCGGCCGCCCCGACAGGCCGTGCCCCGCCGTGTGGCGAAACATACCACACGGCCGGCGCCTACCCGGCGGCGCTATGGCTGCCGAAGTCGAGTTAACAGGCTTGCGTGTCGGGCCGCAGTGAGCCCGCAGGCCGGCACGGAAGGCCGATCGGGAAGCCTTCAAACCCGCCGCCCTGTGAGTGAGGCGCCGCCTTCAGCGAAGCCCCGGCCCCAATCCCTGCCGCCCGGTGGAAGGGTGGCCGCGCCCGTCCCCGGGGGTGTGGCCGTGACCCCTGACCTCCAGTCGGAGATCGGGCGCTGCCGTCAGCTGGCCGCACCTGTCGGCAGTCGCGGCGCCCGTGATCGGACAGGAACACACTCCGCGGTCAAAGGTCAGCGCGTCGAGCGGGCAGCCGAGCCCGGTGGTCGTCCCGGCCCGGCGGAGGCGCCGCCGTTCACGTTCGGCCGTCGGCCGGCCCCGGGCGGCACCCAGCTCGACCTGCTCAGCCGGCGGGCCGGGCCGAGTCGGCCGCCGCCCCTCGGGCCGACCGGCGTGCTCCTCTCAGAGGCCTTGTGGAGACAGCTAGTGCTACCGCCACCATGACTTGCCCGTCTCTGATGGACCGGTCAGCCCCGGTTTGTTCCCTTCACGACGCCCCCGGTACGACGCTGATAACCCCCTATCGTGCAAATGACAGCGATCATCCCGGAAGCCACGGACGGGCGAGTAAACCACCACCCTCCGTGCCGCAGCCCGGCACGCTACATCAACAACACACGCATGTTGTTCGGCCGCGTTCTACCAGTGCGGGCCGAGCGGCTGTACGTGCTCGCCCAGCGGCAGCCGCCGCCGACCATTACGGGCGATTCTGATTCGACAGGCACAGTGCCGTGCATCCGGCGCCAGGGTCGACCGGTAACGTTATCAGGTAAACTGGCCGCGGCAAGGCCGGTGAAACTGGAACAGACCCGATAGCAAACGGGCGGCTGTTGTGCTGTCCGGACCACACCGTGCCTGTATGCAGCTTTCATTACCGCAACTATCCAGCGAACTCCCATCGAGACCTTATGTTTCTATGGCGGTGAATACCAAGTGTTGCTGCTCGCGTGATTCTTGCTTATAGGAACAGTGGCATTTTTAAATTAAATTCGCGTGAAGATCATGCATCTTCGAATGGGTGAAGTGGGAAAAGGGTGTGCGCGTTGTGCATGATTGAAGCGGCGCCGACGTCCGCCACAGCCCGCTTGCTACTCACTCTTGAGCTGCTTCTTGATGCTCTTGTCGAGCTGGAGCCAGTTTCTGGGGTCGTGCGGGTCGGTGTAGAGCAGGCCGAAGTAGTCCCTCTCCAGCAGCTCCAGGTGGCCCGTCACCTTGTCGAACAGTTCCTGGCCGTTGCCCTTCTTCTGCAACACAAACGGAACCCCCGGTCAGCGTCAGACGCCGTCCGGCACGCCAGCATCCGCTCACCGCCCGCGTCGCTGGCTGTGGGCGGCTCGCGACTGGTCCCTGCCGGTAAGGGAACGCTGGGACCACAGGCGCAGGACACACCCCATAGTCGGCGCCCCAGTCAGCCGACCGAGTCCAGGTCATCACAGCCGAGCTCGTGATGACCTCGGCTCCCGAGCGGGCCCACCGCCCAGGTCATATGGCGCCAGAGCCAAGGTCAGCATCCCCAGCATCGCTGACCGGGCGCGAGCTCGACGTCCTCGGCATCCCGCACAGGACGGGGTCAGAGATCGGCATCCCCGGCATCGGCGGCGCGGCCGGTGACCGGGCATGGCGCGACACCTGGCGGCGGCCCGCGGACGGCGCCCGGCCGGCGGTACATCCTGCGGCGGGCCGGCCGCCAATTAGCGCCGGGCCACGCGTCGCTGGCATTGTCCGCCGCTCGGCGGGCCGGCACGGCCGCGACACCCGACGACTCCCGTCCTGCCCGGCTCGGCCCACACTCAGGCCCCGGCCCCGGCCCCGGCGCCAGCTCAGCACCAGTAGTAGCTCCAGGACTAGCTCCAGCCGTCACCCGATCTCCGGGCCGACCACGGCCACCGCCCAGCCGACAAAGGAGCTGAACGGTCAGACGCGCGGCCGCGGCCGACCGGAACCCCTTCCGGCGCCCTGAAACCGGCGCCGGCTCTGACGCCGCGGGTGTGACCGGGGTGTGAAGTTACATGCCCAGGTACCTGGTGACGGCACGGCCTAGAGAAGCACCTCACGTCAGGTTCGTGGAGACGGGTCTGGTGAGCTGGAGGGGGTAGAAGCGTTGTGGGTCAGTGACGTGGAGCTGACGCATAACCAATCCCCCATACGGCGATCCCAGCCCGGCCGTAAACACCAGACCGGTGTTTACGAGCGGGCCTCCAGGTGTGCGGGACGTCCGTCACGCCCGCTGCGGTCATATTTGCATGAGCCGTGTTAACCGTCGGCGCCAGACTGGGCGTCACGCCGCCATGTTGGCGTTAAGACCCGCAGCGCCAGCCTGACACGGCACGCGACGAGCGGCGGGGTCAGCACCGGTGGGCTGTGTAGCCCGTTCAGGACCGACGTCGTTCGCGGCCATTAACTCCCATCAGCGCTGCCGATCATTAGCAGGGGGCTGTGACTATGCCAAGTGACAAGGACTACCGGCTTACGGCTTATGACAACAAACAACAGTTTGTAGTCATTTATATAGGTTTAGTAGCAGTTGCGTGGCCAGCGGAAGCCTGCAACTGATACTAAACCCTTTAGAGACACGCTAACGGAACCTCACGAAATGACGCATGTGCTAAAACAGTCCGGACCATGGGCATTGCCCAGTTTCACGCATGATTCGCCAGCATCCATCCACGACGAGGAAACTTACACTGGCTCACAATTTGGTCGCATACTTGAGACATCAGATCAAAACTACGGGATTCGGGAAACTGGCGCAATCCCCTTTCCTCTCAGATTTCCCTCTCCGGCAAATACTCTGGGCCAGATTAACCTCCGCCAACATGCACGGGAAGGAAACTCGGGCAAATCCGTCCTGCATGAAAGGGCGGTCTGGCGGCGCACCACCGCAAACCACCAGACGTGAGTGCCGCTCCACGGGCCCGGACCGGCGTACCTCCGTACAGCGCCCGGTCCGCCCCCTCCCCCCCCCCCCCCCGGGAGTTCAGATAGCACGGCGGCCGGCCGACGCCCGCGGCAGCGTCGCGAAGAGCTCGGCTGGCTGGCAGCGATGGTGAGGTGCCAATACGGGACACAGGGACGGCTCTGCGGCCGACAAGAGGCTGCGGCGGTGCTCACCGGTTGGCCAACAAAAATATGTAAAAAAAATCAGCACGAAAACGCGGAATCCGCCCCGTTTGGGCTCCACGCGAGGGCCATCATAAATACCAAACGGGTGTCGCAAGAGCAAACCGTGCGCAACGCAACTGTCGCTTCAGTTTGGGGAGGACATCTCGCGCCAGTGAGAGATGGTTCATCCCCGCAGCGCCAGCACCCAATAGCGCCGGTTCGTGAACCACCCTCTGAGAAGCATTAGACAGCCCCCAGCACTGGGAGGGGGGGGGGGGGCTGAAGGGATCCGAGAGCAGCGACAGTGCGACACGACCGCGCATGGACACCGGGTCGGTGCGGCATCACCACCGCTGCTGCCGTCACGTTTGGCGCGCCCGTCCGTCCCGGCGCCAACGGCGACCGGACCGGGGTCTGCTCGGCGCCGCGCCGACAGCGGCGGCGTCGGCAGCACCTGAGCGCACGGCTGCGGCCGCCGGAGCACACGGGTAGCAGGCTGACGCGCTGACAACACGCGACGAAATCTCGGACGTCCGCCCAATGCAAACACCAGTTTTACTATCGTCGTCAGTGCGTTTAACTAGAACTTAGAGAGACCAGCATTTGATCCTAGATTCTGCATGATCACCAGAGCGTCGGACGGCAGGAGAGGTCATGAGAGGTCAGGACACTGATAAACGGAACGGCGCGCGTCCACACATCACCCGCATACACATGGTAGCATAAAGCCGTGCGCTGCCTGCAGCGTAGCTGCGCAGTTAACCCGCCCGGGCCGCACCCCCGCGCCGTCGACCCGCGCCGCAGCGCCACCGCCGCCCTGCCCGCCCGAGCCCCACCAGCCCCGACACATCCTCCCGCCCCGAGCGTGGCGAGCATGACACGGCGCGCGGCACCATTGATAATGGGCAGTCGACACCTGCCCGACGGCCTTGGCGGCAGTGTCGTGGCGGGCCTTGGCCACGCGCCGCCGGGTCGGCGCTCCTGCACGCCGCTTGGGCGACCAGCGTCTGACCCGCACGGCTGCACCCCTGTGTGTGCCGTGACTGCACCACCGCACAGCCAGCGTGTGCTTGGTGTAACGCGGCTACGGGGCAGTGGGCGGCGCGGGCCGACCCGCTGGGTCTGGCGGGGCGCCGTTCGGCAAACAGTGACCAGAGTGGCTTCCACCGCACAGGCAGCGCATGAAACAAGTCCGGCATCGAGCTGTCACTAAACCCCGACGGTCGGAAGGGTATCAGCCCCGCCTCGCCGACGCGCTGTGTGCGGATGCACCGGCGCAGCGTCGCCGACGCACGTCCCCGCCACCGCCGGTCCGCGTCAAAAGACGCACCTGTCACGGCCCGGCGGACGTTGGGCGGCGCGCTCTCGCCGCCGGGCGTCCACCGGCCGCACCCAACAGATGTCAGTGTGGGCGCTCTCGGCCGGGTGCCGCGGCACGCGAGCGTGGGCCGGCCGCGGCGCGACGGCGCGCAAAAACTCCCGCAGCGCGCCGCCGCCGTCCGTCTCCATCGGCGGTGGCCCTAGGCGACGCTGGGATGAGCCCACACAGCAGCGGCCGCCTTCGTGCTTCGGCGGGGGCGAGGGACACCGACCCGGAACACGGCCGGGGCGGCGCGGAGCGGGCTGAGCGCCAGACGCTGGTGCTGTGGCGTGCGACGCCCGGCGATGGAGGGGGCTTGGTAACGCCGGGGAGGGGCGATCATGCGCTGCGTTCGCGGGACAAAAGAGCCCGGGGAGGTCACAATGAACAATGCCAGCAACAAAGGCTGCCACGGGCTGGTGGACCACCAAGAATCGCGACAGATTATCACCGTGGGCTGGCGCTGCTGTGGGCGCGTGACAGTCGTGACTACCGAGGACGTCCAAAACGCGACTAGCACGACTCGAAGGCACGGAAACTCGACGGCAACCAGAACGGCAACCGCCACACAATGGCGACCAGAATCACGCGGAAAGCCCAGTTAAAGAGACAGAAGACGAGAGAAGTACAGCCACGGGGCCTCTGAGAGTTGACAGATCCTCGCCGGCAGGACCTCGGAGCGGCAGCCGAGCGGTGGCCGAGCGGTGGCCGAGCGGTGGCCGAGCGGTGGCCGAGCGGTGGCCGAGCGGTGGCCGAGCGGGCCGAGCGGTGGCCGAGCGGTGGCCGAGCGGTGGCCGAGCGGCGGCCGAGCGGTGGCCGAGCGGCCGCCGAGCGGTGGCCGAGCGGCGGCCGAGCGGCGGCCGGCCCGCGGCCGATGCCGGCACGCCTCATCGGTCCGTCGGCGGCCGACAGCGGCGTACTAATCTGCCTGGAGCGGACCGCCGCCAGACACTGCCGGCACAAAAGGCCCGCAGAGAGGCAGCGTGATGGATGGCGGTTGCTCCTCCCAGCGACGCCAGCCCGTCCTTCTCTCGACGATGACGTGTCCAATGGCCGGCGTCCGACGCGACGGATTTTTATGGAAGCTTGTCACAATGTAACAAACGTAAGCAATGATAACGTCCCAGTAAAGTTGCGTCTGGCTTGCCGAGAATGCAGAAAAACGTCGCAGGAACTGCCCCGTCGCCGGAGCCGGAACGGCCGCCTCCTCTGCCTGTAACGAATACAAAGGATCGGCTCCAAGCCCGCAAACAGCTGTTGAAAACAACACCCGCGTGCCTTGCGGAGGCAGTCGCCGGCCATCCGTCCCCGCCGCCCCCGCTCCGGGCCGGCCGCCCCCCCCCCCCCCCTCCCCCCGCCCCCCGCTCCTGACCGGCCGGCGGCGCCGGCGAGCGGCCTGAATGGACCGACGGTGACTCGGAACTGGCCGCTGAATGGCCGGCGCGCCGCGAGTAATCGGCCCATAATGCGGGCCAATGGGCGAATCACGACCGGCCGCGGACGTCGCCGGCGACGCCGGGCCGCGGCGGCGTCACGGGCGGGAGCGGCGACGTGGAATGATGGGGGCGATAATGAGGCGATCGCGATCAGACGGGGCGCGGAATGAGCTGTTAACCGCCGTTTCTTTGTGCTGGGGGGTAGAAAATGGGAGGGAATCAGTCAAATGATGCAGGTTTCGGAGCTGCGTTTGTCGGGTGGTTGCTCCCTGAACACGGCGCGTCTGCGGTTCGGCCGCAGACAGGCGGCAGTCGATGACGATGATGGTTGATGTCTATCAAGAGA